GCACACAGACTGTTGGGAATTGGTTTAAATCTCATAATTGATGATTGGTTCATTACAACCGATCAATCATCGAAAATAATTGGTTAGCGTCATTTATTAAATTTTCCTGGTTGTTTGTTAATGCACAAAAAATAAAGAAAAAACATGTAGTTCTTTCGGGTTTTTTGCAAATTTCACATCATCACAGGATGACTAGTATGTATGGAACATGAATTTCATGGAGTCTTTAAAATACATTCAATCATGAATTGGAAGAGCTTGTAGTGTTAATGAAATGTAACAGACAAAACCAACCTTGTGAAAAATATTGTTATTGCAAACAAGTGTTATGAGAAAACATGATTGATTACTTGGTCGTTTTGTCATTACGACCAAACTTCGATTATGTCAATTAATCGGACCACCACTAACACAAACAGAATCAAAATTGAAGTCATCAGAAACATCATCTTCACAAGTATAGTTAAAAAAAATCACTACTCACTAATATAAATATTCAAGAAGACGGGGCTAAAAAAGAAGAAAAAAACAACAAATATGAATATGATAAAAAACACTATCATTACCTAATGTTAACGAGAACTTGTAAGTACATACTTAGTGAGTGTGTGAGTGGGTGAGTTGGGTTTTGCGCTGCTTTTATCAATATTCCAGCAATATCACAACGGGGACACCAGAAATGGGCTTCACACATTGTACCCATGGGGAGAATCGAACCCGGGTCTTTGCGTGACAAGCGAACACTTTAACCACTTGGCTACCCCAACGCCCCACATGTAAATACATGTAAATGGCTCTAAAAGCTCCACAGACATTACTCCCTAGAAAACTGACCAAAATAATAACTTTACACAGACAAATCAGGTTTTCAAATATGTTTGTAAAAATCCATACCATGCACAAAATTATTAAATGATCAGGTTGATGACTGACATAATATTCAAACGGCAAAAGGCAAAATAAAATTATTATTGATTTTTGTAATACTAATAATTTCAAACGGCATTCAGTACAAATTGATTAGTTGCTTGTTATAAGCTGTTACACGGCATGTAGACATGGCCAGTCCTAAGCCGAATGAAGTCATTTTGAGTAAAGAGTGAGTATGGTTTTACGCCGCTTTTAGCAATATTCCAGCAATATCACGGCGGGGGACACCAGAAATGGGCTTCACACATTGTGCCCATGTGGGGAATCGAACCCGGGTCTTCGGCGTGACGAGCGAACGCTTTAACCACTAGGCTACCCCAACCGTCCCTTCTGGACTAGAAAACAGGTAGGCTTCATTGCTCAGAACAAAATGGGTGGCCCCCACGTTAAAATCATCATCACTGCTTCAGCCATAATTATGAATGGTCCCTTAGGGTCCTAATGAAGTAACAATCACCAAACGCACTATATTTTGTATCAAGACACTTAGTTTAAGTAGATTCACAGAAGTTCTAACACAGAGCATCATTTCTTCTAACACACGTGTCATCTGAAAATTGAATGAGTACCACTATGTACTCAGAAAATGTACAATCAATCAATCAAGTTTATTTCGTAACAAGGCCTTAGGCCCACGTACAATACAAATAAACGTGTAATTATAAGATAGTGGCATTTGACAATCAGATTCATATGTATAAAGAACGCAATGACAATGCTCCTTAATGTAAGAAGAACAATTTGTTAGTGTTGAAAATTTGGTACAAGATAATGTGTTCAGAAAGTATTGTTGATCTATGTAATTTGGTAATGCTTTAAAATATTTACAGCGCAAATCATGATCACTTGATAAGCTTTACATTCAAACAGGAAATGAAATTCATTTTCTACAAAATTATCATTACAAATATTACAAAGTCTTTGGTGCCTGGAACTCAATCTGTACAGAAATTATATGTAAAATTTGATGTTAGTCCTTTCTGACAGACTGTGACAGAATTACATGTAGCCAAATTGAGCCAAATGTACTGATCTGTCCTTTATTCAGTATGCTTGAGAATGAAACACTGAACACTAACAACAGTGATATAATGGTTGGTAACAGAGATACTCTAGGGACAATATTTGTTATTTATCTGATGACATTTCCACTAAGACCTTTTTAATAAAACTCAAAATGTAATAATGTAGATTATCATCATTTTGGTACACCAACAGGTAACCATGGTAACACGAGCCAAATGTGTTTTGATATTACACTGCACATGTTGCAAGCATAGTGTTTGGACAAGAAAACATTACAACAGTGACAGAAAACATTTTGAATATAGTTTTGTTATGTGGCAGTGTTATTTGTTGTGCAACAATGTTCCTAATCTAATTCAATGTACATGTGATATTCAGTGCGGGGTAGCCTTGCTCCAAGGCTGTACTGATTGCAGTGCCCATGAATGGACAGTAATTCTATCCTTAAAGGGGCAAGTCTAGGACGCCAGTCAGTTAGAGGGACAATGTGTTCTTTTTATTCATATATTTTCATAAATTACCATTTAAACTATTATTAATTTCCTTGGAGACTTATGCAAGTCAAAGTGAGGGGCAGTTGTGTGCTATATTTCTACTTGTGGTACAACTTTATGGGCATCTCTAGTATAAGAACAGTGAAGAATGATCTGGAAAGTGCTACAAGGAGTTTATTCCAGAATCATCTGCTTTAGTTACAATCGTCTACCAGCAAACAAGGATAAGTTGAGCATCGACCTGACAATTGTCCTGTATTAGCATGTATGAGTGCCGTCCACTGGCGCTTGCCATTGATAGCGAAGGGGCCCCAGGTTGTCCGCGATCAAGTGTAGTGAGACATGCTACACCGACGTGAGAGTCTTGAGCAAGGCGTGTGCAGCTACGTGCGGAATCAATTTCATCGTCTACAATGCACATGCACTATTCTACATCTGCTCAACCTTTCACAAACCAAATGGGTTTGCTCATTGCTGTGGACCACCTACTTCTCGTAAACACATTCTCTGCACCGGTCCAACTTATCCTTGTTTGCCAGTACACCTTTTCCTTTGGTATATAAGGGGAGGTAACTTGTGCTTCTCATCTCACATAACATCTCAAGTCACACTAAGACCTGCATTGTGAGTGATATCACTATACCCTGCCAAGCCTAATTGCACGATGGATTACTGTTGCTATATAGTGAATATTATCATCACTATCTTTACTGCTATAATCACTGATCTTGTATTACATTATCTCTGAAATCTATACAGCCACTGTAACCTGTACTGCCATTATCTGGCACTTGTCTGTAGCCCTAGCTCGGTGGTCAGTTTTCTGTGAAAGGGAGCAGTTTCCACACATGAATTAATAAAACTCAAAGACTGACTGACTGAGTTTGGTTTTACGCCGCTTTTAGCAATATTCCAGCAACATCACGGCAGGGGACACCAGAAATGGGTTTCACATATTGTACCCATGTGGGGAATTGAACCCGGGTCTTTGGCGTGACGAGCAAACGCTTTAACATGTTTAACCACTAGGCTACCCTACTGGCCCTATCATGATACAAGGTTTCAAAAGTATCCCAAAAAGTCAAATAAATAACAAAATTTGTTTTTCTGTATGATAATAGATCAGTGTTTAAAACTCCCAAAATGATAAGCCAGACAGCCGAACTGGTAACTTTTGAAATTTACCAGTCTGGATACAAACTTGCCTGTCCGGTTTTCAACAATGAAAAAAAAGTCAGGTTTCTGAATACTTTACTGTTTGTAGGCATCGCAATGAACAACATAGCACTAATAGGCAATGCACCCTGTTTAGGTAAACTGAAAGTACGTCGTGTTGTACGGTTATTGTAAAATGAACTGTCCAATCGTAAATAGTTTAACATAATTACCATAATACCTTAAACACCTCAAACTGACGACAAGAGAACCTGTCTGATATTATGAAATATTTACTGTTAGGGGTAAACACATCTATCAGACCACCGGACAGGCTACTTTTGAAATTTGACCGTCCGAGATGAAAATAGACCGTTCCGGACAGTCGGGCAGGCGGGAATCTTAAACGCTGTAATAGATACAATTTTTCAAAGTAGACCAGCAATCTATCAATTTAATGTTAAACATAAACTAGGCCGATCCATGAAATGTTTAGATGGACTTTTGCTTGTCATCTTCAATTTTAACTATGGTAACATTTAAAGAATACTTTTCTGTGGCAGTGATTTATTAATTGAGCAAAGGTTTGTTGACACAAAGATATTGCCTGTACAAGAAAGAAGGGTTGATTTTGTACACCCACACTGCCTCTGATTGTCATGGAAACAAGGTGTTAAAAACAACAACCAAATTATCAAAACGATGCATTATAGGTGGGAGATATATTACACTGAATACAGGTAATACTGTCATGGACTCTGAGGTTCTGTAATAAGTACAAAGTAATGGTTGCTCAACAACTGGTTGACATGGGATACAATACACTACAACACCAAATACTTTTTAGATGATTTACAAGAGAGCCGAACCAAAAAACGGAACTGAAATTAGACAAACATAATGGCTTTTGAAATGTTTTTTTCCTGACAACTGAACCATAACTTAAGGTGAAATGAAGAAAATGAACAGTATATTTGTATCACAGCTATTTATGATAAATGATGAATAATACAGATGGAAATCAATATTCTAACAACAATAAAAGAAAAGATCAATTATATCCGATATCATACCAGATTAGAACTTACTTGGTTTGGATTCATTGATAGCACTAATAATCTGGAGGCTGAAAAATATTCCTCATACATCTACACTGAATTTTAGGCAAAGGTTTTCGTAAACCAACTCATAAAAATGTTATGGCATCAGCAAGATTGTTGACTAAACGTTGACTACTTCTAGCAAGTCATCTTATAACTGCTGCTGATTCCATGGGTAATTGGTTGGTTTGTTGAACACCGCACTCAGCAATATTCCAGCTATATGGCGGGGGTCTGTAAATAATTTAATCTGGACCAGACAATCCAGTGATCAACAGCATGAGCATCAATGACGTGTCAACCAAGTCAGTGAGTCTGACCACCCGATCCCATTAGTCACCTCTTACGACAAGCATGGGTTATTGAAGACCAATTCTAACCCGGATCTCTTCGGGTCAATTCCATGGATGAAGAAGGCATGATTTAGTGATATATATTTAGACAGTACATTTTCTTCATGGAAAACATCAGCATGCCATAAATATCAATGTGAATCTTCATGGAAACTTATTTATTCTGACTTATCAGGGTCCTGTTCCACCAAGCGACTGAGTTCCAAAATCGTTATGTTATGATTGTTTTGTGAAATGGGATCCACATTCATAGAATAAACATTTGACGAGGTGTTCATGTTACAAGGATATATCAAAACAAACAATATCATTTTGTTCAAAATGAGTAATAATCTTGGAATTTTGCCAAATGAACCATGCCATAATTGTCAACAAAATCTGTAAACAAGTATGCAACAAGTGAGACATGAATGTTGACGATACAAGCTTGTTGAAGGCCATCATTTCAAACCATGGTAACATCTAAACAACCTACATAACTTAATCACTTTTCCCTTTCTTAGCCTGCTGTAACAAAAATCTCTGTATGACTAAACTACGGAAATATTCATTCACATAATGAATTTGCATAATGTCAGCAATTTTGGACAGAAAATGTCCAGAAACCTTGTTGAAGATTTCATGATATTTCACCAGTTGAAAATCCAGCAGTTTTAGTCCTATAAACCCAGCACACGAGAGCATAGCCAAAACAAAGTAATGTCGGGCATTCCTACAGGGGTATTTAGAGTATCCAATCACTGCTGCTGTAACAGCCAGGACGACATGGATTCCAAGTGCTATCTCAAATCCGATTGGTGTAAACAGTGTGAAGCTGTAGGAGGCCAATGAAAGAATCATGAGGAACAAGAACAAAGGTACATTCCATCCCCACTTGGTGTACATCCCCCATATGACAACGGCCATGAAGAAAGGGAGAGTACTCCACTGATCCATGACTCCAAATCCATGAATTTGTGTGATGATGCGCAGTGCTTGGATAGCCCCATAGAATCCAGACATGATATTAAACACATAGAAGATAAATGCATCGAATTCATTGATGACGTTGTTTTCCCTGCAGATTGTCGTTATTGCACACCAATAAGCTCCGAGAAGAATATACCCAACATTGACAACCGTGTTTAACGGCATTTTCACAAACGAAGGAAAGAACATGTTGAAATTGCTCGGTTTCTCCGCATAATGTTGAAAACCGAGTTCTATGAATGCTGAGTCAAAGAATCCATTGTAAACTATGGCCGCCATGATGCTAGTAAACAAAGACACTGACGCCAGAGCTTTCCATAGTGTCGCCATCTTGAAACCATAGACAAGAATCCCAAAAATATCTTCCTAATCAGCTCTTCACTAGACAGACACACCTGCAATGACAAGGAGATTTATTCAGAAATTTGGATAAAATATGTCCTAGCAATAAACTCCTGTTGTTGAAACTTAATGAAAGATGATCAAAACAAAACACCATCACTAATATGGCAGCCAAGGCATCCTTCCACATGATAGACTAGTAACAAAATACATTCTCAAAACATTGACTGGTCTTGCTGTTTCAACTCAATTTTAACTTAAAATTCATTACATATTATGATTATAAATCACTTGCCTTTTCAGGAAGCTGTCATTAACAAAAAAACCCACAGGGACCTTTTCGCAAACCGCCATTCACTAAAAAACCCATTGTGACCATTTTGCAAACTGTCATTCATTAAAACATCTATGGGGACCTTTTCGTAAACGGTCATTCACTAAAACACCCACCGGGACCTTTTCGCTGACCGTCATTCACTAAAACGCCTATGGGACCTTTTTGCAAACCATCATTCACTAAAACACCCACCGAGACCTTTTCGCAAACCGTCATTCACTAAAACCCCCACTGGGACATTTTCTCAAACCGTCATTCACTAAAACACACTCGGGGCCCATTCATTCATTAAAACACAAGGGACCTTTTTGCAAACCGCCATTCACTAAAACACACATGGGGACCTTTTCGAAAACCATCATTCACTACAACACACATGGGGACCTTTTCGCAAACTGTCATTGACATCATCCAAATGGACCTTTTCACAAACTATCATTCACTAAACACCTCGGGACCTTTTCGCAAACCGTCATTCACTAAAACACCTATGGGGACCTTGTCGCAAACCGTCATTTACTAAAACAACTATGAGACCCTTTTGCAAACCGTCATTCACTAAAACACCAATGGGGACATTTTTGCAAACCGTCAGTCACTACAACACCCAAAGGGACCTTTTCGCAAACCGTCATTCACTAAAATACCTATGGGACCTTTTCGCAAACCATCATTTACTAAAACCCCCACTGGGAACTTTTCGCAAACCGTCATTCACTAAAACACACTCGGGGACCTTTTCGCAAAACGTCAATCATTAAAACACACTCGGGGACCTTTTCGCGAAACCGGTCATTCACTAAAAACACACCTTTTATGGGACCTTTTTGCAACCTTTTTTGCAACCGTCATTCACTAAAACACCAATGAGGACCTTTTTGCAAACCATCAGTCACTACAACACCCAAAGGGACCTTTTCCCAAACCATCATTCACTAAAACACCTATGGGACCTTTTCGCAAACCGCCATTCACTAAGGTTAATTAAAACAATGTTGTGGTTCCGATTACACATCTTTGAAATTTAGGGTTGGTAGGTTGGATTTCTTTTTTGGTTAGCATTTTTTTAGAAGTAAAGAATAAACTAATAACACATTTATCAATGTATAATTGTTTATTCAATCAAGGTTTCAGCCATTATGTCGACTTTCTCTATCAGAATGACCGATGTCCATCAGTGCCGGGGAAAAACAATGGTATCTAAAAGTTTATTTCATTCATACCGCTTAAAAACATTAGGGTCGGCACCAGAATTCAAGGGTCAGTCGGGTAATCGGAACCATAACATTTTTTTAGGCCTAAAACACCAACCATCATTCACTTCAACACCCAAAGGGACTTTTTCGCAAAACACCTAAGGTTCGCAAACCGTCTTTCACAACAGTAAAACACCAATGAGGACCCTTCTGCAAGCAGTTACTTATGTGAACACAGAAGGGGTTCATCAGTCCCTGACACCTATAGCAGCCTTCCAGCAAAACTCTTTCTTTCCCCTGGGCCCACTTCACCAAGTAACCACCCTACAGTTCTGTATGTGAAATATTGTAATCATGGTAATCTTCACAGGCTTTTTATTTGACATGTAGAATAACTATAATGATAAAAGGAATCTGGTGAACTTTAACGTCTTCAGAGTGTAACATACATGGAGCACAATGGTGCAGTGGTAAAGTGTCTGCCTATCATGCTGAATGCCCCGGGTTCGATCCCCGGTTGAGGCAGCTGTTTTCGGGTCCCGAGGTGGGCACATTTGCGTAGTATCCTTGGACAAGATACTTAGATCCACATTGTCTCAGTTCACCCAGCTGTAAAATGGGTACCCATGAGGATGTGCTGGCAATGTGAGTGTTTAGTTCATTGTGCCTAACAGGCAGCATGGCTGTATGATCCCCAGGGAGTTGAAAGAGTATCGGAAAGTACGATGACCAGGGATAGTAACGTATGTAGCACCTCGAGCAGGCAATGTGCCTGGATATGAGAACCATACAAGTGGACTATTACTATTATTACTATATATAGTGCTTGCTACATTCTACATCCAAGTTATCAGTTGTTACATTGATCTTACGCAGTTGGGATATGATGATGTGTGTCAAACAAGACAGATCTCCTGACCTCCGATCCGGTTAGTTGCCTGTTATGACAAGCATAGGTTGCTGATCATATCCCAATGACATAGATCGATGTTCATTCTGTTGATCACATGGACTGCCCTGTCCAGCATCAATTATTTACAGATCTCCACCGCATAGCTGGGACATTGACGAGTGCAACGTTAAACGACAAACAAACTAATTAAAGTACATAAGAACTGACAAAAAGATGGACTGATGTTACTGTTATTATAAAAGTCACAATCCCGAATAAAGCACTGACCAGTTCAAATCAAGCCTGTATCCTAATCCAGGTTTCTAAATCCACGTAAGAACCTGAGTGAACACTAACTTCAATCAGTTCACTGTCAGAATCAGATACAAATAGAGCACTAAGTTGAGTTACCATCATCCGAGCATTGCACTCTTTCTTCACTGTTTACAATTCTGCAATATTGTAAGTTTACTGTCTAGATCTAAGTTTATTGCTAGAAACTTGTAACCCTTCATTTTATGAAAATGTAATTTTTAGAGTAAAATTGATATTTTATACTTATCCTGACTCATGATCTTTTGCTTATCTCCCTTTCCCTTTCGAATGGTAGTGGAACACTTAAATCCCTTGAAGTTCCCGAAGCGGACGTATAAATACACTCACCCACGAGTTACCTACATTTGCCCCTTCCCGCGCAAACCAGTTAGGTGACCTGCCTTACTTGTCACTCTCTCCCTTTTCGTCCAAGGGAGATAAGCAAAAGATCATGAGTCAGGATAAGTAAAAATAACATAATTTTAACACTTAAATTGAACAAACATATTGAACTGTGTTACACTTCAAGGTATGAGTTAGCTAAGAGGGTATTAACATAGATCTTACAGTCAGTTTAAATCTTGGAATGGAACACTGAATGTTATTAAATTTCAAAATATTCTGCTCCATAACTTACAAGGTTACAACAACCACTGAGTAAGCAGTGTAAACCTACAATGCAATGACCAGAGTAGAGGACCCAAAACAATAGCAATCCAATCATATTACCTAATAGTTGTTTAATATAATGTGTCCTTATACTGATCACTGGGATTTAGATCAAGGTACTAAGCTGATAATGATTAATCTGTTCAATCACTGACAATGACATGGTGGATTAAGACTAAAAACCAAAATGTGTTATTATATAATATATAGCTTCACTTATTGGATGAAACTGCAGGAAACTTACAACCTCACCTCATTCTCTATGGACTTTTACTTTTAGAATATGAGTGCAAACATTACGACTCGCCATGCTGAGTTATTTTAGAAGTATTTTAAAGATATAATCACGATAAAAGTATGAAAGAGACATCTCTAGTCTCTTCTATTTAGTTCCCTGTCGTAATGTAGAATTATATAAAAACAATATCAAGGAGCCAGTATGACACATTCATAAAAGGAATATTACACAGGGTTTTTTTCAAAAGTGTGAAAAAGGTCACAATGGCAAGTTCTGAAATGAGCATACATATATTTTTCTATTAATACTTCGAGCCAGCTGTTTTCATTTCAACTTTTAGGCAAACGTTAAGGGTAAAGGGATTTACATGGAGTCTTGTATTTGAGGGTCCGTGGGACTCCTACTCTTAATTTTCAGGGGTTCTGGACAACAAAATGGGGGGTCCCAGACACTTAAATATTATTATTAATACTGTTATTGTATTGTGTATCATGATCATCACATTGTTACAGTAATTAAATTGCAAATAACACCATAACCCAGCTAGTAACAAACTCAGTGATAACTTATTGTCACGTGATTGGAATTTTTACAAAACGTATTTGGACTTTTTCTGAGTCCCTGTGGACGCACTAATAAATTTTGTAGTGTCCATTGTCAAGTTTTATGCATATAGGACGCAGGAATTCGTGTCGTGTAAATCCCTGGGGTAGGAATTTAACAATATTGTATCAGCCAGAATAGTGATAACATATAAATAAACAACAAGTCTAGGGATAACTATAACAATGAACTAACGATTATGGCTAGAGCCAGTTTGCATGCCTCATGTTATGTCAAGCACTCAGGAGTTTGTTTAAACACATCTTATTTCCAATAGAACCATGGCTTGGTAAAAAAAGCAAAATGCTTACATTAATCAATGTTAATACCATTAGACAACAGTGAACGATAAGAACACTGATGTAATGTTAAAAGACATAAACAATGTAATAGCAAAGGTCAACAGAGAAAGACTTGTGAGTGATGGTGATGTGGTGCACTGATACTGATTAGCAGATTGGAATTCATTTTATGTTAGGCCATAAGAAAAAGTATGATCACTGGATGTTTTGGCTTTTCATAATAAACAGATTTAAGATTATCCATATGTTCAAAGGAAAATAGGAACATATCAAACCAATTGATATTAGCCTTTTTACAAAACACATAGAGCATGTGTCTAACGTGCTTTGGCAGATTGCCATAAAATTAAATGCAAACGATTCGCTGATATTCTGTGGATAAGACTTCCTCCTGTAACACATCATCGATAATGCCATCAAAATGCAATTGGAGAACATTTGCACATGTTCTATCAAAGCACTGACATCAGTAACAAAACATTACATCAGCAATATAAAAATCCAAGCCACCATATTACCTGCCAAAGTTATTATCCGTCAAAAATTCTCTGCTCAGCAAAAATCATCTTACATGTAAGACCTATAAATGTCGGAGTCACAGGGGCACAACTCGAATACTTTCAACCTTAACGTGTATAAATATGGTCAATGTAATTTCAGACAAGGGAGGCAACTGCCCATAGCTAAATATACTTTGCAAAGGACCATGGACTTCCTTCTTTGAACAATCACTATAAAATCACAGAATTGTTTGTATTTATTCTTTGGGGCGTTATTTTATAAAATCACACCAAGCGCTTTTGTGTACATAAATTATAATTTAGTTATTAATTTGGAGGTGGTCATGTGATATGCAAATTTTGTTTTTACGTCCGGGCACTTGCGTTGTTTGATACGGCATTTTGGGTAATATTCAATATGGCGGCACCCATATTGAAGTGGAAGCGGGTAACGAACACAACAGGGCCAGCTCCTAGGCCGCGGCATGGCCATCGTGCAGTTGCAATCAAGGATCTGATGATAGTTTTTGGTGGTGGTAACGAAGGAATCGTTGACGAACTCCATGTTTACAACACAAGTAAGTTAGCTGTCAAACCCATGGATCCCACAAAATGGCGGCTTATTGTTGTGGGTTTGGAAAATTTGGCGCCATGCAAGAAAATGTTGACAGTAACGGGTTTTCTTTAATGTTTCAGGTCGGATTTTAAAAACGTATCTTTCCCCGCTAATGTCGCGTTGGAGATTCATCCCTGTCAATTTTTGTGCAGTAACTAAACTTTTGGCGTCAAGCAAAATACCAAGATGGCGGCGCCCTATATCACACTCAGGGGCTGTAAATAAATATGAATTCTCGTGTTAGTACGTGTGATCATTACTGTAAAATTTATTCGTTACGTGCTCTTATCTATTTCGTAACAGCCGCACTAGTTTGCACAATATGATGTGCTGTAAAGACTTTGTTAACATTGATTTTTTGTTGGTTGAGCGGTGTTCTCAAAAGAAAATGGCGGCGCACGGTTGACAGCCAGTGTTTAGATATCGGGGCAACGAGATTTGACTTTCTGATACGAACATTACACTTTTGCATAGAACTACCATTGCACTTTCACGGTTTCAATATTGAAAGATTGGTTGTATGATGTAGTTGAATATTCTTTCCAAACTGTCTGTGTTTTGAAGTACATAAATGTAAGTATCATCTGGTTCGGAGCTATTTGAATAAATTATGTAAATGACATAGGGAGGCGGGGACACCTGCTGGATTGCATACAGCTCCGATAACTCCAAACAGCAGTCAGTGGTTGGAACAGCTGTTGTAAATGAATTTTTCTGATTACACATCATAAAAGAGGCTTTGTAGCGTTGCATTATTGAACTATGTAATTAGGTCATTTAAATATTGGTGTTAGGCTGTTTAAAAAGCATTTGTTTCAATGTTTCATTAATTCAATCCTGTTTAAATATTGTCATTGCAGACACCAAACAAAATTTCAACATGACAGCAGTTCCTGCTAATGATGATCAGTTCAACATGGATTTAGTTTCATTCATAGAAAATAGTGTCAATGGAAATTCACTATGGGAACACATAAATCTTTGCAACAAGTTTCATCAGCTGTCACACCGATTTTGTTTGACATTTAACTGCCTTTTTCAGTGCTTGTGATTTCTTAAATTTGTTTCCATTAAAGAGTTTTCAATACTGAAACTCTCAGCATAAATTCAAACATCTAACAGTGAACTTTATAATATTGACTAATTCTGTTATGTTCCAGCTACAAATCAGTGGTTTGTGCCTGCTGTAAGAGGAGATATTCCACCTGGCTGTGCAGCTTATGGCTTTGTTTGTGATGGCACACGGATACTGGTTTTCGGTGGCATGGTTGAGTATGGAAAATACTCAAATGAATTGTACGAACTGCAAGCCAGCAGATGGGAATGGAAACGGCTGAAACCCAAGCCGCCTAAAAATGGACCACCGCCATGTCCCAGATTGGGTAAACAAATTCACCTCCAATGCTGTCTCTCTCTTTTTCAGTCAGTAACTTAAGTGTAATTCAGTTATTTGCCCTTTGCACAGATAGTTCTAAACAACTTGTTGTTGTTTGATTTCAGTGTTAATTTGAATTCTTTCTCACAGCGTACAAAATACACACTGTAATTCATGTAACCATGACCTTGTTTTGTAGGTCACAGCTTCACATTGCTCGGTAACAGAGCTTGGCTTTTTGGAGGTCTTGCGAATGACAGTGAAGATCCTAAAAATAATATTCCCAGGTAGGAAAGTATATCATGCTGTTGTTTAAGTTGATTAAATGTTGAAGCTTAAGGCAGGAAATTTGTAATCAAAGTGTTTGGTCACAACAAAATATATTTTATTAATAGAAGTATTCAGATGTTTTTTATGACTGGATAGAAATTGTGACAGTTTGAAAACTGGTGTTCATATTGATTGTAGTAAGAAAATTATTCCATGTTTGTAAATAGATGGTAGAATTTTTTTTTATGAGATAAAAATGTCAACTTAACCTGTGCCCTCTACATTGTCAGACATATTTGTTTGCATTTCAGTTTTTTGAAAGTGAAATTCAAAGATATCAAACTGCATGAAATACATTGGTTGAGTGCCAAATGGTTTCGTTAATCATTGTGACAGAGGAATACGTTTGAATTATATGTTTGAAAATTTGTAATGATGCCTATGATCATTCAGTGTTATTCACATACACTCTTGAAAAATCTTCAGATATCTGAATGATCTGTATGCCTTGGAGCTGAAACCAAACTCCAGCCAGATGGGTTGGGATTTACCAGTGACTGTAGGCCAGCCTCCTCCTCCGAGGGAGTCGCACTCATGTGCTTCATACGCAGCGAAAGATGGCCGCCACTCCAGACTGTTCATATATGGAGGAATGAGCGGGTGCAGACTTGGTGACTTGTGGCAGTATGATGTTGGTACGTTCATGGCGGGTGTGGTACACCAGCAAAATGCACACTTCAAAAGTATTTTATTTACTACATGCCCTCATTGTAAATAATAACATTCATGGTTTAAATATAAGGAAATCAAGACATTTGACCAATCATAATAGCTGCCATAAAACCTTAATGATATTAGTTCAACAGCTGGTTTTATGTAAAAAATGTTGAAATTTGGAAGTGTCCTATTATTTTCAATTTGTGGTTCAAGTTTCAATCTGGGTTTTAAGAACTATTTTGTGTGTGGCTTTCCAATATGATTTGTTTTGTCTAGTAATTTGGTGAACTGAATGCCATCTTGAACATTACGCAAAGACTTGTGGATTCACAAGATGAATCCCGTGTCAGTGATGACATAGTGTTATATTTCATAATGTCCATTACAGATACAGTAACATGGACGAAACCTGTGGTCCAGGGAATCCCCCCTCTACCCCGGAGCCTCCACACAGCCACAGTTATTGGAAACAGGATGTTTGTGTTTGGGGGATGGGTACCACTAGTCATGGACGATGTCAAAGTTGCTACACATGAAAAAGAATGGAAGTGCACAAACACACTGGCATCCCTACACTTAGGTAATTGTTTATATTTAAACTTATCTTATCTCATGTTATGCAAATTGCCTTGTTCTTTCGACTGTGGAGTGGAAACGACCTTAAAGTTTCCAGGCTCTTGTCCTTGCCTGAACACACCCCTGCAAATATTGGGACTGGGTGGTAAGGCTCTCTGACATGGTTGACACATGTCATCGTATCCCATTAGCGGAGATGATGCTCGTGATATCAATCACTGGATTGCTTGGTCCAGGCTCGACTATTTACAGACCTAGGTCATACGGCTTGAAAATTGCCGAGTACGGCGTTAAACAACAAACCAACAATACTGAAACCAACTGAAGTCACTCTCTTGTTGCCTACAAGTGCAGACAAATTTTGTGTATATAAATGACAAGCAAGATCTATATTAGACTAGTTTGAACAGTTAATGAGGCTATCGTACACTTATTTAGAATTCCACATTTTGTTAATATAATTCTCCCCACTTTCATTTATATGCTTTCATATTTTGCTTAAAACCTGATAACAGAAGCATATAATAGTTTACTTACTGAAATAATACTGAAGCAATAATAATTCTATGTCTGTATAGATCCATAAAGATCGATCATTGTCAAGAAATGTAGTTACCAATCTATATGTAGCATAACTATCATGTTTTGTACTACTTTGATATGAAGTTAGCCTTAATATTAATCATTTGAACAAGGATTATGTTCATAGGAACATGGAGAAAAGGATGTGTTCATCTATAGCTTGAACAAATATATAAAGATGTATAAGAACAGTACACAAGCCGTGATATTTCCCTTTTCAACAGGGAATAACTGTCTTACAGATTTGATGACGTGGGAGCCGCTGGCTATGGAGGTGTTTGAAGATGCTCTCCCACGTGCCCGGGCTGGTCAGTGTAGCGTGGCCATTAACACAAGGCTCTACATCTGGAGCGGACGAGATGGCTATCGTAAAGCCTGGAATAATCAGGTTGGTGTAGAAGATTTTTTGTCAGAATTTTGCTGAGGGTTAAAGTTGTCAGAGGTCTGCTTTTATTCACCAGTTTACCTGTATAGACATTCAGTTCTCAGTTTTAGTACAGTGATGACTTTGAACGTTTGAGAGTATTTTGACAGTTGTCCTGGTTGCTGATGGAAAGTTTCTTTTAGAAAGTACTAATTTAGTCATATCAACTTAGGGCTTAATTTAAGATAATGAAACCTACATGAACACAGTTCAACCTTGTTGTACCAGACAAAAACAGGTTACACATTCTGCTCAGTATAATATTATATGTAATGCTTGAATTGTTAATATATTTAGGATTTCGAACATCATTATAGCAAAATTATTCTGGCTCTAAGATCATTTTATGTTTATTCTTAAAATTTCTTGACATGAACAGAAACAGACATTCAAGAACTGTTCGACTCATTACTCCAAGACAGTTCCTTGTCACTCTCTTTTCAAGTTGAAGTTTGTGTTATTTGAACAGTAAAATACTGGGTGTGGGTGTAAATATGAGGGTGTGTAGGTGTGATTATGAGGTTGTGTAGGTGTGATTATGAGGTTGCATTTGGAGTTTCAGGTTCTAAATGCTTAAATCGAGCCCTCAAGTTGACAAACTGTCTTTTTTGCTTTTTTGTTTTGTTTTGTGATGTTCACCAGTTATTTGTCTCATAATATGAATGGTCATTTTTACAGGTGTGCTTCAAAGATCTGTGGTTCCTTGAGACAGGTAAGCATTGGCTTTCAAGGTGTAGTTATAATGTATAGATAGTTGATAGGGCTGTAAAATGTATTGACATATATTTTGATTCGGGTACACATATTAAGATAGCTTGGGAGCGAGTTTGACAGCGAGTGGCATAATTAGTTGTTCATATATATGCAGATTTTATTTTCTAAATACGAAAGCCCTAAATATAAGTGTTATGATTCTGATAATAGCAATCTCAAAATGAGGGTGAATAGTTAAAGATTCTTCTTCTTCTTTTTTCTTGTAAGTTATCTATTGATCTGTTTCACTGGACCATTCAGTTCAGTGAGGTAGCCTAGTGGTTAAAGCGTTCGCTCATCACGGCGAAAACCCGGGGGTGATTTCCCACATGGGTACATTGTATGGAGCCCATTTAGAGTGTCCCCTGTCGTGATATTGCTGGAATATTGCTAAAAGCAGCGTAAAACTAAACTCGCTCTCTGGACCATTTTGATAAACATATAATCACTGTTTCATGTTTTACAGACCTAGCATCTTGTAATTGATTTATTTTTGTATACAGAAAAGCCACCAGCACCATCTCGAGTTCAGCTTGTACGGGCTAGCACCAATACCCTGGAAGTCTGTTGGGGCTCGGTGCCAACCGCTGATGCATACCTGCTGCAGTTGCAGAAGTATGATCTACCCCCCTCACAAGCCATGACCCCCACTGCAGTGCCAGTCAGCAGTGCTCTGGTCAAACCTCCCACCCCCACAGCGCCAACACCTGTGATGAGGTCCCCCACTGCAGGTAAGACAGTGGCACCATTGCTACCATTATTTGGGGGGGGGGTTAGAAATCAAAAGACATTAGGCTAGAAATTGAAAGAAATTACTTTGAAAATGTTCCTATGAAGATTAGTGGCAGGTGTATTGCTGGGTGCGTTTTGCGTCTTCTACGGATCCGCACTTGACTGTGCAGAGTTGCGTCCCCTTGGACATGCCAGGAACCTAAGTTCATGGATTACGTGCTTGTTCAGCTATATTATGTTACTAGGTTTGTCAGCAGTATACCATACTGGTGGATTTCACCAAAGTTGTAAACATGTAACACGTGCATCACTTCAAACTGTTCTCCCACATTAAGTCAACTCCTCTGTTCAAAGAAGTTTTATACCTGTGAAGATCTGGATCCTCAGCAACCATACTTGTCATAAGAGGAGACTTAGGGGATTGGGTAGTCAGTTTTGTTGACACGTCATCATATCCCAATTGAGTAGATCAATGCTCATGTTGTTGATCACTGGTTTGTCTTGTCCAGACTCGATTATCTACACACCGCCGCCATATAGCAGGAATATTGCCGAGTGCAGCAATAAGCTACAAAGAAACAATAAAACCACATCAAAATGGGTTTACAACCAAAGTCACTTTAGATATATTCTGTAACAGTAATTGAACACGTTAAGATGATCATGCAAGACCCTTTGTTCGAAGTGAATTTGAATGTTTGCAAGATGTAGTTTCCTGTTGATGGTAGGATACCTCATAGGCTTTAAAACTGGAACTTATCCTACTGCCAAGTTTAGAAACTGAATATGAAAACTCCATTAAACATCAACAGATGTTTGGATGGAACATTGCTAGTCCTCTTCTGTCCCTTTCCCTGTTAAACCTGCTGATCGATACTGTCCTGTCGATTCCATGCCTCTCTTCTTTGTCCATGGATTTGTGATCATTAGCTCTTTTCCCTGTTAAACCTGCTGATCGATACTGTCCTGTCTATCCCATGCCTCTCTTCTTTGTCCATAGAATTGTGATCATTGGCTCTTTTTCCTGTTAAACCTGCTGATCGATACTGTCCTGTCTATCCCATGCCTCTCTTCTTTATCCATAGAATTGTGATCATTGGCTCTTTTTCCTGTTAAACCTGCTGATCGATACTGTCCTGTCTATCCCATGCCTCTCTTCTTTGTCCATAGAATTGTGATCATTGGCTCTTTTTCCTGTTAAACCTGCTGATTGATACTGTCCTGTCGATCCCATGCCTCTCTTCTTTGTCCATGGAATTGTGATCATTAGCTCTTTTTCCTGTTAAACCTGCTGATCGATACTGTCATGTCTATCCCATGCCTCTCTTCTTTGTCCATAGAATTGTGATCATTGGCTCTTTTCCTGTTAAACCTGCTGATTGATACTGTCCTGTCGATCCCATGCCTCTCTTCTTTGTCCATGGAATTGTGATCATTAGCTCTTTTTCCTGTTAAACCTGCTGATCGATACTGTCCTGTCTATCCCATGCCTCTCTTCTTTGTCCATAGAATTGTGATCATTGGCTCTTTTTCCTGTTAAACCTGCTGATCGATACTGTCCTGTCTATCCCATGCCTCTCTTCTTTGTCCATGGAATTGTGATCATTAGCTCTTTTCCCTGTTAAACCTGCTGATCGATACTGTCATGTCTATCCCATGCCTCTCTTCTTTGTCCATGGAATTGTGATCATTAGCACAACAGAATTTTTCATGCGGTTGGAATTAATTTAAATAGATAGACAATTTTGGACCTAAAATATTGTCTGAAATCTGTCCAGATGTACTCTGATAAAAGTAATGGTCTTACTACAGGCAATTTTAAACAATGGGAAAAAGCCCTCTGCTTTCCGTACTGTTAATATTGAAAAAGTAAGGATGGGTACTATAGAGAAAAGGGTCAGTGTGATGATTTGTTGTTGAAAGTTAATTTCAATAGAACCTGGTTATGTCCTTCACAAAGCCTGTCTACTTTATCTTATCACTCTATTGCTATTTTTGTCACCCTTATGTGCCCCCAATTTATCTACAGTTACCATAACTACCCCTGATTTATCTACTGTCATCCCTACGTGCCCCTGCCTACGTCAACCTTAGGTGCGGTGGGTAGCCAATGGTTAAAGCGTTGGCTCGTCACGCCGAAGACCCCACATGGGTGCAATGTGTGAAGCCCATTTCTGGTGTCCTCCGCCGTGATATTGCTGGAATATTGCTAAAAGCGGCGTAAAACCAAACTCAGTCAGTCAGCCTACGTGCCCCTGATTTATCTACTGTCAACCTTATGTGCCCCTGATTTATCTACTGTCATCCCTACATGCCCCTTATTTATCTACTGTCATCCCTAGATGCCCCTGATTTATCTACAGTCATCCCTACATGCCCCTGATTTACCTACTGTCATCCCTACATGCCCCTGATTTATCTACTGTCATCCCTACATGCCCCTGATTTATCTACTGTCATCCCTATGTGCCCCTGATTTATCTGTCATCCTTACGTGCCCCTGATTTATCTACTGTCATCCCTACGTGCCCCTGATTTATCTACTGTCATCCCTATATGCCCCAGATTTATCTGTCATCCCTATGTGCTCCTTATTTATCTACTGTCATCCCTATGTGCCCCTAATCTATCTACTTTCATCCTATGTGCCCCAATCTACTGTCACCCTCATGTGCTCCTGATCTATCTACTAGAACTGTCAGCCCTATTTATCTTGTTCTGTCTATTATGTGCCCCTCATCTGTCTACTGTCATCCAATGTGCCTCTCTGATCTATCTCACTGTCTCCTGTTCCCAGCCACTGGTGCAGTGAGGCCTCTAGGAGCGGCCAATCTGGCCTCGCTCGCACTCACCGCCCCACAGACAATCAGAGGTATATAGTTAGGCAACGTTGTCGGCCTGGCTCGTCCATAGCATGAATAACAAAAAAAAAATTTTTTTGGTCATGTTTTTTAACTATTTGTGCATGAAACCATACTGTAAACATTTATCAATATAATTACGGCCACATTTATCTTTTTATATATATTTTACATTTTTTCATCACAAAATGCAAGAGAACAATCGTCTTAAAAATCAGTGATTAATTTATCACTGCATCATGGGAAAAAATTACTATGAAAAGTACTAGTTCTGTCCTAATAAATTAAAGTAATTTTGATGTTGGATTTAAATTCATTTTTGTAATAAAATTTGCAGTTTTATTTTACATATATCTCAAAAAGCATGCTTCCATCTTGAGTAAAAATAACTGGATGATTTTTCATGCTTTCATTGCTTTGTGTGCATGGCTTATATTCAAATGTTTTTAAAACATTTCAAATAATTAGAAGAATTCTGAATGTGGCGATTCACAGGAATGGGTTGTCTTTGTCCATGTCCAGCCTGTTGAGACTCTGTCTGTCATCTGTGCCATTGTTTCCTGTTTTCTGTTTTGAGTATGTTCAGTTTGTCCGTGTTAAAGACATGAATGTTAACTGCTTAGTTGTGTTAATTTGCAGTTTAGTTTACAGGCATGAGTTTCTAATTTGTTGCATCATGGAGGTAGATATTTGTGATTGTTCAATTTGTTGATTTAGCTTTTAGTTTTCTGGCATGTATTTTGCTTGTCTCAAATAACTGGACTGAGTAATTTTGAAATTAAAGGTTAGGTTACCTTAAAGTGATTATCATTTTAATCTCACAAGCATAGTCTGAAATATCCCTGGTATTGTTTTCTCAAATATTTGATAATGATATCATTCTTTTTCTATTTCATTTTCCTTCTCTCTTTTCTTTTTTGTGTGGTTTAAATTGTGTTTTTGATAATTTATTGACACTTAGAAACTCACGTTGTGTTTTAACTTTCCTGGTCATTTTGCATATTGTTTGAGAGGACTTTATTTGTTTGCAGTGACTGCCACACCAAGGGTCAAGGCTCCCGTCACAATCACACCAGTGTCTCAGGGAATGAGGGTAGCCACGCCCCAGATCATCAGCGTTGGGCAGGGACATAAAACAATAGTAACCAGTGTATGTAATTTATGTCGTGCATTGAAATTAATCTGCAGCATCTCTGAAGTTGTCTCCATGGATAATTGTGGTTTGATAATCCTGCATTTTGGGGTGCTCTCCAAATAATCATAACACATTTTGAAACTTTGTAAATTTGTAGAACCAATGTTCATAAAGGATACTTTTGATGGGACACATTTTTAACCAATGGACTAGAAGACAAATATGTATGCTGTTTTAAAAGGAGATTACAGGCACACTCGTATAAATTGTAGTCCTGTTTTTTTGGTTGTGTGTTTTTAAATGCAAACAAAGACAATTGGACAAAGATGCATAAAAAATGTAAGACAGAGTTGCTTAAGGTAAAGTCACGGAAACACACACTGTTAATGTACACTCTTTGAAGTACACGATAAGGCAAATAATTCTGAAAAGTCTTATATTTGAGTTTTACCCCCCACCAATTATTGACGCAAATATGATGTTCAGCCTAAGTGGAATATGGTTGTTCTTCAACAGCAGGGAGCTACAGGTCAGATGACTGGTATTGCTGCACTTGCTGCAGCAGCAGCAGCAACACAGAAGATACCCGGCACTACCGGCGCTACCACAACGCCCATGTCCGGAATCAAGGTTGTCACACCAACCATTGTCACACCCTCAGGGGTCAAAGTGCAAGGGAAACTCCAAGGTGAGCAGAGTTTTCAAATCCAGTATTTTGTTTGTATATGTGTCGATATTGCTGGTTATTGCACATGTTATGCAGAATGATAATTGAAGTGCAGTAATTAGTCAATAATTGATTGTAATCATAAATCCCACAACAACATTCATGTAGGCAATAACAAAACAGACACAGATTTATACCATGATCGAGCCGTATCCTGCCAAAGGGACTTCTTGTAACCTGGGGGCGGTGGGGTAGCCTTGTGGTTAAAGCATTTGTTTGTCACGCCGAAAAACCGGGTTCGATTCCCCACATGGGTACAATGTGTTAAGCCCATTTCTGGTGTCCCCCTGCTGTGATAATGCTGGAATATTGCTAAAAGTGGCGTAAAACTAAACTCACTCACTCATTCTTGTTACCCTGCCTGGCCTCAGCATTATACCCCTTTACAAAGGATGGCGACTGTTCTGCCTTCTTTGTGCATTCTAAAAATATGTAGAACACTCAATGAAGGCAAAATGACTGATTAGGTTGTACAGAGAAGGCACAGACATCGCCATGACGGCACAGAACGCCATGGTGGCGGCAACTATATTGAACATGTTCAATACAAACGCGGAGCGGTCACTGAGGAGTTTGGTTGTACAAAGGACATTTGAACATGTCAGAAAGAGGGCAGAGGTGTTGCTCAAAGGATGCACAGGACACTCGAAAATCGCCACGAAAATGCCAGAAACATGCATTTTGGTCGGCAGAATGATCACCGGATCAGTTACACAGAAACATGTTTTTCTTGAAGTTTTGCGACCGTTGAGCATCCTGCTCAGTTTTAGAATGCACAAAGTAGACAGAACAGTTGCGGATCAGTGTAAAGGGGGCCTTAGAGGGTAAAACCATGACTCGTTGATCCATTTTAGTATCCGCTGGCTTGCACAACTGAAATAGCCTTTGTTGGAACTAGTAGAAGTGGAAACATGATAACACACACAGATCTACAAGTTTATTGTGCATCGCCTTAATAACCAATTGTCCTGGTCAGTGGACATTGTTGTACAATGGTATTTACTTTGTATCAGGAACAACATTATCACCAGGAACACAGACCATCCGCGTGTTATTTTTCTTATCCTGACTCATGTTTATTTGCTTGTCTTCTTCTTCTGGCTTAACCTAGTGGAACACTTGTATCTCCCAATTGAAGTTCCCTTCAATAAAAATCACTCATTAGCACTGACCACGAAGTTACCTCCCTTCCACAAGCTGAACGAGGCGCCACCTGAACCCATGTGCCTCACTCTCCTTCTTCACCAGTGAGCAAGACGCGAGAGCACCTGTGTCTCCCTGCACACTATATCCTTTATTTATATTTAGTTTGTTACCTCTTATATTCATCTATAGAGGTGTAACTAGTATCATTATTCAACATGCATTGATAATTATTCGTGTTTCTGCTGCTTGATTCACGGTTCGCCGCGGTTGCTCAGCAGTTTCATGCTAATAAAAATCTGCACTGTTTGTAAATTACGCTACTCTGCTACCGATCCACATTTAAAATGCCCTAGTTGCATTACTCCATGTTCTATTGTTTCTTGTTGTAAATTATATATTAATTTACCAATTTCTGCCTTTGATAAATATTTATGTTCCGCTTTGAGACGGAAGGCAGATAAATCTCGAAACAATCTTCAGTCATGGCTAATAGATCGAGTCAGATATATCCTGAGTTACCTTCGGGATAAGCGGGGACGAGTCCGCTATATCTAGAAGTTTACCTGATTCCCAGGACGCTCCTTCATCACAGTATAAAACTAGAAGAACTTCCACGCCGTCTCAACGTGATGCTCCGAGCCCCCAGGTTTACAGCCTCGCCAAAGGGAAATCCACGAAGACTACTAAAAACTTTGCTTCTGATATTCAGAATTATGTTTATATGATGATGACATTTCGATTATCATTCCAGATGTATGTCATAAGAAGTGACCAGTACGGCTACCGCCACTTCAGCGCAGATCAACATGCAATCAGAGATACGCTGACGCCGGAGATTATAACTGAGGGTCCCGCCACTATCACAGAGAGGACACCCTCAACGCCAGCGCAGACCATCCCAGACGACCTGGTCAACCAAATCATGAGGCTGATGGAAGACCGCTACGGCTTACAGAGGCCTCAGAGCCACGGGCCCCAGAGCCCACCCCATACTAAGTCATACAGGGCCCCAGAGCCCGCCTTTGACTTCGCTGTAGGGCCCCTGAGCCCATAGACGCCGGGCCTCCGGCAAGGGCAACCCTGCCCGAGTGAGCTCTTTGCATAAGGTATCCCAGGCAGCCTCCCGAAGGAGCTAGAGTCTGACCCTTTGCAAGAGGTTTCATGGAGAAGGAGTGCTTTCGCCAGCACGCACCTTGTCATGTACGGAAGGGCGCTCGCAAAGCAAGCACTCATATGTCGGATCGACACTGACTTCCAGACATTCGCGCAAGACGCCAAGGCTAAGTGGTTCTACAACGCCTAGAAGACGCTCGGCGCAGCCCTCAACGCTCGAGAAGCCCAGAGCGCCGGGCGGCCATCACCGCTCTCAAGCCCACAGTTCCGCTGAAGGATGTCTTCCAAGGTCTACATACACTAGCCAATCGCCAGTCCGCTTCTCCTCAGTCCTCACATAGATCTTCTTACAGATCGAGGTCTCCGACATACCACCATACGCCAGAGGAAGACGATGGTATCATTTAAGATCGGACTCTAGACACTTCGCTAAGGAAGTCCCAGGTCGCCTCGCCGAAGGAGCTACAGCCTCACCAATTGAGAGGGACATCGCTGAGAAGGAGCGCCACGAGCCCACACCCTGTAGAACACAGAGGTCGCTTCGGCTAAGCAAGCCATATATTAACTCTGACTCGATACTTTCGCGAAGGTCGCTAAGGCTAAGTGGCTCCAAGTCTATTTCACCCAGAAGATCTAGAAGCGCTATTTCGAGAGATTCGCTAAGTCCCCGGCGCTCACGAGGAAGTCTCCTCCAAGGTCTCCATATACTAGCCACTCGCCATATATAGCCACTCGCCAGTCCGCTCAAGACATCACATGAGTTGTTTATCAACTGTAAGCCATATGCCGCCTACAAGCCTACGCGAAGACAATTGCACAGGCTATTTACAACACACAACGCCGCTGTATTAATTTATCAACGGATGAAGAGCCTAATTAGGGATCTTCAAGCCGACTACCTACTACGATACGATTATCTACATGTGACCATTACGCAGATCTGCAGACAATTCAAAACGAAATTGAACAGCAGTCTTGTTACAGCGAAGTAAAACTCATAATCGCCAACGATTTTCAGAAGTAATATGTACAACAAGTTCAGCTTTAACAGTCTACAAGCTGACAACTTGCAAGGTTATTGAACCTTATATAAAGAAGTCGGAATTATCTTCAAGACTGAAGTTACTTTCACGACAACCTGGAAAATAACTTATCCAGCATTAATATTACAGAGCGCAGGTATTTCGCCGGAGGTTTCGCTTACTACCATCAACCCTCAAACACGTGGTCACTCGGGTAACTTCGAAGTTACGTGAAGACCGACGCATTGTTCTAATATCAACGACGCACTATATTATACAAGGTTCCTTTCCTGATACACCGTGACGCCACAGCTGGTACTCTACAGAATCAAAATGCCTTGTTCTGATTGGACCGAGATGGACAACGCCTTCCACGCAGAGGTCGATCATAGTTCACAGTTCAACACATAGGTTGCAAGTGACAACAATATATCAGTGAACGAAAGCAAGCCTCCTTACAGTCCAGCTAATCTAAACCTTCATGATTGGGCTGCCTTCTTGAGGTTAGAGACCTCCCTGTCAAGTAAGACGAGGACACGGCAGTCAGACGATTTTTACATAAAGTTCAACGATGGCAGTCACCCCTGGTTATGCATCTACATCGCCAAGCACTTCGCATTTAATTTACCTCGACGACGGGATACAAATGGATCCAAATCCATAGCGCCTCAGACTACAGTTGAATTCATCATCAAGCTACTAACACAACTAGATGGTTAGTAAACCTACTTAAGTTGGACCTAGAACCTTCGCAAGATCTGCTATTCTAGGTTTTGATTTGTAACGGCGCAGAATCGTGATAATTGTACCGAGGACCATGGATCAAGATCCAACAGTCATTTCCACAAGCCTTACTATCTCCACTACCACTACGACAGTGACAGAGTCTGTTGGGGTTACGCGACTTCAGCTCAGCTCAAGACATGACAGACAGAGGCAGACTACAATTACATCCGCTACAAGTCATCAGCAATTCGTGATCTAGACTAATCTCTACCGCTCAATCATCGGTTCAGGTCAAACCTCATCTACTATGATGCACCAAGAGATCGAATGTTTGAATAGGCGCCTCGCTAATAGAGCTGGAATCGATAACACTTTCTACGAGATGTGTCACTATATAGGTTGGGGAGCCCATCTTGCCAACAGGACGGCATCAGGGCTATGAGCAATCAAGAGAGCAATTACACATAAATTTGCTAGAGATGCAAGCAGTAATAAACGCCTTTAATACACTGGAGCAACTTACTACAGTATACCCAGTGGATGATTCACACAGTCAATTCGACAGTGGCGCTTTTATGTGAACAACTGAGCTCAACCAGGTCCCCGAACATATCGACTCTGTTTTCAATTGTTCGATTTAATCAACAATCTCAACATACATGTCAGAGCATATCACATTCCAGGAGCAAAGAATGTGATAGCAGACGCCTCTCTCGCCACACATACCATCGCCGACAGAATGAATGCTCCATACAGAGATATTCACTCAAATTATCAAGGAAATAGGAACTACACTAATAGACCTATTTACCATTCGATTCAACAAGCAACTGACAACATTCAGATCGCCAGTTCCAGACCCACTAGCATTGGCAACAGACGCACTAAGCATATCGTGGAAGGTCTCAACGCTGCGACGCTTTTCCGCCACCAGCGTTAATCTCACAAGTTTACTCTAAATCAGTCTAAAGCAGAGCCTCCATCTGATTTTGGTCACGCCTACTGACCAGCGAGGAAGTGGTTTCCAACTCTTATTCAAGAAATCGGACAACCAATACTACACCTTACAGAGTGCTCGAATAACAAGCTTATGGAAAGCCAGATATATTCCAACTCCACGTATGGATTGTATCATATGCGGTCTGAATAACAAGTTATTCAGCCAGAGCGCAAAGCAGTCTAACTTGCCCTGCGTGAACTCAACTTGCAACTTATAATGATGACAAATGGCACAGTTTTGTCAATTATGCTGCAAAGGAAGGATTTACAGCTAGATATGCTACTCATCCTCAAGTGGCGGACTACTTATGTTATCTACGCCAGACTAAGATTTTATAAGGCAGCTTGTCCACCTATCTTGCAGCAATAGCTCTATCATAACTGAGAATGGCGCCAAGTTAACCTAACCCAGTTACTGCCTTGCTACGAAGCTTCCGATTGGAGGATTAAAACAGAAGTTCACGCCCAACTTGGGATCTGAATATAGTGCTCCAACACCTCACAAGTGAGGTTTATGAACACGCTTTGATGATATACTTGAACCCCATGATAACGATGAATCTATCACGATGGCCAGTAATAGCACTGAAAATATATCTCCACCGAGCCAAACAGGAGGGAAAAATGCAAGAGATTTATTTCCTTTATCAAGCTACGCAGACGGAAGTCTCACGCACTACTATATCTCCTTTTGATCAGAACTGTCATACTACGTGCCTACAAGACTGTAGGACTCTACCCTCCATGAGCTTCTAATCCTCTTAATATTAGAGCTTAATATCTCCAATTGCTCTACACAAATGCTTTTGGAATAATGGAGGGTTATTTCTGGAGATCCGATATGGTGTTTGCCAACCACTATCTGAGAGATATCACCACCGAGGACGCCTCAGGTATCCACCTATTCGGGTCCCATGGTCCTCAGACAACAGTTGACAGTTCCTCGAGAAGATAAGTCAATCTTACAGATTTCTACTTATCTTATAACAGTACTAAATAGCTACATGCTATATATATTTTGCTTAAGTTCAATTTATTATCTTAAGCTCAGTACTATGGTTATTATATCATACAATATGTAAGCTAACAACTCTAATGGAGTTTGTTATTATATATTTAGCTTAAGTTAATCATATCTTAAGCTCAGTACTATGGTTACATTATAAATATATTAGCTAACAAACTCTACGGAGTTTTTTGCTATTATATATGTAGCTTAAGTTTATTCATATCTTAACCTCATTACTATGGTTATATCATATAAGTATATTAGCTAACAAACTCTAAAGAGTTTTTGCTATCATATACTTAGCTTCAGTTTCATCATATCTTAAGCATTATGGTTACATTATAACATGTATTAGCTAACAAACTCTACGGAGTTTTTGCTATTATATATGTAGCTTAAGTTTATTCATATCTTAAAGCTCAGTACCGTGTTTATATCTTATAAGTATATTAGCTAACAAACTCTAAAGAGTTTTTACTATCATATACTTAGCTTAAGTTTCATCATATTTTAAGCATTATGGTTACATTATAAAATGTAATAGCTAACAAACTCTACGGAGTTGTTTTGGCTATTTAGGTTGCTTAAGTTAATTATATCTTAAGCACAGTTCTATAATCATACTATATATATGCCTACAACTCTTAGGAGTTCTACTATTATATATATGTTCAGCTTAAGTTTCAATCCTTAAGCTCAGTCATATGTTCATTTCATAACATGTATTAGTTAACAAACTCTCAGTAGTTGGTTACTATTATACAGCTTAAAGTATCATTATACCTTAAGCACAATTCTGTTATAACTTACATATATGCATATTGTAAGCTTACTACTTTGGTTCTATAAAAGTATTCATTATAAACTATCAACAGTTTATACTATCACATTAATAGCTTTAGCTTAATTAATGTTCTATATACTTTTATTATATTCAGTAAATTGTAATAACCCTTATATGGCAACTGATAAGTTAACAGCAGGAATTCAGTTCAGTGCCTTCATGAAGTTCCCTTAGGGTTATTACAATTATCTCTGTTCAAATCACTAATTAGTAAAATCCAAAGTATATATAATCCCACCTCCTATTCAGAGGATTCTACAAGCAAATAAACATGAGTCAGGATAAGAAAAATATGAAATTTTTAGAGTAAAATTAATATTTTTATACTTATCCTGACTCATGAGGTAAGCCCTCCCGTCCTCCCCACTTAACACTTTGGATTTCCCTGGAAATTCAGGTGTTGGGCTCAGTATATGAGGAGAGAGTGAGGCACATGGGTTCAGGTGGCGCCCTCGTTCCCGCGCTTGTGGAAGGGAGGTAACTCGTGGTCAGTGCTAATGAGTGATTTTTTATTGAAGGGAACTTCAATTGGGAGATACAAGTGTTCCACTAGGTTCGCCAGAAGAAGAAGACAAGCAAATAAACATGAGTCAGGATAAGTATAAAAATATTAATTTTACTCTAAAAATTTCATATTTGAGGAAGACAAAAAACAATGTATTATTTTTTCCATGATTTTTTAAAGTTGATGTCGTTAGATCCTGAAATGGTGAGAAACATCCTTATCCGCCATGCTTTTGCTGGAACAATACTGGCTTCAGAATCAGTGCTGATTTTTAGTACAATGTTTCAACTACTTGGCCCAATGAGATCAGATGATATGGTCCCTTTGATAGATTGGTGCATGTCATCAATTTTGCCCCCTGCCGCAACAAGGAACGGGGGACTATGTATTCAGCAGCGTCCATACATACGTACATCCCGATTCTTGTTAACGCGATATCTCATGCACTGTTGTACACAATGTCTTCAAATTTGGTGACAGCCTACATTGGGAATTATGCAGACACCAATTGATTTGGGTGACCTAGACCTTATCTTCAAGGCCACCACGACACTTTGACCACATTTGAAATTCTTGTTAACGCGATATCTCATAAAACTTTGCACCCAATGTCTTCCATTTATGTCGACAGCCAACATTGGGTGATTATGCAGACACCAGTCTTTTCAGGCATCTTGTATGTGACCAAAACATATAAAGTAGTAAATGTGTTATAAATATTCCATTCTTTAACTGCGGAGGACATTGCTATATTCCTTATGTTAACATTTAGATGTCAATCATGGGATTGTATGGTCCACACTTTATTATGTACTGGTCACCATCATATATCTGGAATATCGCTGAGCACAGCATTTAACAACAAACAAAACATCCCTTTTCATTACGTCTTCAGTAGTTCAGGTTCTTTACTCTCAGGTCTTATTTCAAACAACTATGAAATATATATAGCGAAACATCGTCATACAATTAAATTGATTCCACCCTCACAGACAAAGGGAGGTCTGCCACAAGGGGCAACCATCGTGAAGCTGGTGACGACCCAGGCTGGCTCCAACAAACCCACTGCCATCTTCACCAGCAACCAGTCAGGCCAGACCCCCTCCACAATCCTTGGAATCAGCAGTGTCCAGCCTACTGTAAGTGCTTACTAAAGGTCATTTCCACAACTCCATTCAGGCCAGTGGTTTCAGTTCTAGAAAACTATTAACAATGTCCATGCCCAATCCTGACTTGAGGTACATGTCAGTATATCAGCATTGACATCATTCTTAAATTTAGTATCCGTGAAGATAGGGGTAAGATCTTGTCTTCATCTTCCCATGCTTGTCGTAAGAGACGCCTAACGGGATTGGTGGTCAACCTCGCTGACTTGGTTGACATATGTTATTGTATCCCAATTGCGTAGTTCAATGCTCATGATGTTGATCGCTGGATTTTTGGTCCAGGCTTGATTATTTACAGACCACCGCCATACAGATTGATTATTGCTGAGTGCAGCATTAAAAAACAAACAATACCCAATCGAAGTCATCTTCTTTCTTGTCGACTATGACTGTTATGACCTGTTATAGATTTTATGACAATTTTATGTCAAACTTAAATTTCCAGTACTGACAGGTGTTGGGTATGATCCAAATCTCATTGATGCTCTCTATATGAAACTGCTTGTTTCCAGTCTTCCACCAAGAATGTGACCACAATAATCAAGACCATCCCTTCCTCCATGATCTCAATGGCCAAAGCCGGAGTGGCTGGCGTCACGACTACCCATGCAGGCACCAAGACAATCGTCATCGCAGCACCCAGGGGCAGTGGGGGGTCACTCAACACACCTACCAAAATAATCACATCAGTACCCAAACTGCGCGGCCAGGGAAATACTCAGTTCATCGTTGTCAGCCCCCAAGGCTCTCAAGCTTCATCCACAGCACAGACCATCATTGGTGAGGCTTAGGAACAGTCAGCTTTGAAACTATGAACACACAATGACATTTAAAAGTGGTCAAATGTAACATTATATTTTGGGTTACACTTTCTCAGTAAAGTACAGATTCTAGTCCTTTTGTTAGGTTGACTCCCACCTAGGAAAAATTATGATACTTTTATAAATTGTCTATTATAATTAATTCCAAGGAATCAGGATTTTGTTCAAATGGTACATTTTTTAGCTTCAGTTGCTGTAGACTAGAGGCTATGAATAGTCATCTGAGCAGTTCCAGAAGAAATCCTTAGTTATTGGTGCTTTGTAGCATGTGTTTTACGATAGGAAATTGTGTTTTGAATAATAAATGTGTTAATTCATGGTAATACCATGCTGTTGAACACTGGATTGTATGGTCCAGACTTTATTATTTACAGACTGCTGCCACATAGCTGGAATATTGCTGAGTGTGGCATTAAACAACAAACAAATAATTTATTGTAAACATTTTTTTCTTGAAGGCAATAAGCCTATCACCGTCACTGCTCTTCCTTCATCAACCGCGGGAACATCGCCGGCCACTAAACCTGTTGTCACCATCCTGTCAGCAGGTATGTTGTTTTAGACTGTATATAGACTGCATGCATAGTCCAGTGACTGGCATTCACAAAGGGATGATGAAATGAGAACTATCTGCTGACCATGTCTCTCGTATTGTCACCATTACCCAGGAGTTACTGATTTTAAAACCCATGAAGATCCGGGTTAGAATTGATCTTCAGTAACCCATGCTTGTCGCAAGAGGCGACAAGCGGGATCGGGTGGGCAGGCTCGCCGACTGGGTTGACACATGTCATTGTATCCCAATTGCGTAGATGGATGCTCGTGCTGTTGATCCCTGGATTGTCTGCTCCAGATTGGATTATTTACAGACCACTGGAATATTGCTGAGTGCGGCGTAAAACTAACCTCATTCACTCACTACTGATTTGAGTATGTATACAGAGGGCATTATCAAGATGGAGTATTGTTTACTGAGGTGTAGATAGTCATTCACTATTTTACTTTTGTCTTGAAATTAGTTGTGGGGTTACCTAGTGGTCGAGTGATTGTACATCATGCCAAAGAACTGTGTTGAATTCCCAACAGGTACAATATATGGACCTTTTTTCCGATGTTCCTGGCCATGATATTGCTGGAGTCACTTCTTTATTTAAACCGCACTCATTTGTCTCCCTACAGTATTCATTAAAAGATATGAATGTTCGTGTTTCTTCCAGCCCAAGCTGGCGTGACAGGGTCCACTACGGCTGTCCCTGCCCACATCTCCACCACCACCACTTCTGCCACCTCCATCCTCTCCAGCCCCATGGTCAAAGCATCTACAGGCGGCACCTCAACCATCTCACTCATCGCCCAGCAAACCCCTGGAGACGTCCCCACAACACTTGCCACCAGGCAGATCATAGCCACGCCCACTCATACCACACTGGGCAAGCAACCCATGCAGATCACCATCACCCCAGTGGGCCCCAAGGTCACACCCATCGTTGCCCCGACGATCACCACTGTTCCTGTTCCAGTTGCTACACCTGTAGTTACAACAGATACTCAGGCTGGGGGTGACTGTGGAAGACCTGAGGGTTGTGGGACGCCTCCTCCTGGAGACTGTGGAAGACCCGAGGGATGTGGAACCCCACCACCTAATGGAGACTGTGGAAGACCTGAAGGCTGTGGAACACCACCTCCCGGTGATTGTGGAAGACCTGAAGGATGTGGAACACCACCTCCAGGTGATTGTGGAAGGCCTGAGGGTTGTGGAACACCACCTCCTGGTGATTGTGGAAGACCTGAAGGATGTGGAACACCACCTCCCGGTGATTGTGGAAGACCAGAAGGATGTGGAACACCACCTCCTGGTGATTGTGGAAGGCCTGAGGGTTGTGGAACACCACCTCCTGGAGACTGTGGAAGACCTGAAGGATGTGGAACTCCGCCTCCCGGTGATTGCGGAAGACCTGAAGGATGTGGAACTCCACCTCCTGGAGACTGTGGAAGACCTGAAGGATGTGGAACACCGCCTCCCGGTGATTGTGGAAGACCTGAAGGATGTGGAACACCACCTCCAACAGGTGACTGTGGAAGACCTGAAGGGTGTGGAACACCACCTCCAACAGGTGACTGTGGAAGACCTGAAGGATGTGGAACACCACCTCCAACAGGTGATTGTGGAAGACCTGAAGGATGTGGAACGCCACCTCCAACAGGTGATTGTGGAAGACCTGAAGGATGTGGAACGCCACCTCCAACAGGTGATTGTGGCAGACCAGAAGGATGTGGAACGCCACCTCCAGACGGAAGTGATCATGTTCAAGGTGATAGTGGACCGAGTGAAGGTCAAGGTGATAGTGGGACATCGGAAGGGGTCACAGCCCCAGGTGAAGGTCAAGGTGATAATGGTGACTCTAAACCTAGTGTTGACGGAAATCCAGGTGAACAGTCAGTTCAGCAGGAAGGTTCTCCCACACCAGCAGTTGAATCAACTAGTCAGCCGATGGTGAACGCTGCTCTGTTAAATAGTGCTATAAGTAGTGCCGGTGTCGGCAGCGTGGAGGCGCCTGTTGACGAACCCATGGACACAACCCCAGCTGCAGCGGCTACTGAAGACAGTAGCATCTCAGTGAAACCCGAGCCAGGCCTCCTCGCTCAGGCTCAGTCAGAAAGTGCTATGGACACATCTTCAACATTTACAGGTTCAGCAGCAGGTGCTGTGTCTAGTGTTGCTGATGTGTCAGGTAAGTACAATGGGTCAGTCCAAATTATCTGTTTTGGTGTTTCCGTTAGGCAAAAAAAACAACATGTCTGTTTCTGGTAACCCGACCAACCCTATCTTAACCCACCTGACCCTAAATCATGACTGGAGTGCATTTCGACACATCATTTTCATCCAAATTGAGTATGATATTTCATGTTTTTCAGTGTACGTAGGGCTAAAATAGATTGCATTGAATTGGCATAATGGGCTCTCACTGACAAAACCTGCAAATAAATAACATGAATAATGATTGATATAGAAATCTTTCAATGTTTCACAACAAGGCATTGTCACTACATGATATAGTGAAGACCGACCCACCTACCCTACTTTTAAAAAGCATGTAATAGGAAACGGATATATAATTTTTGGGCCTTACGTGTCTTGGTTTAAGACCAACAAAAAACCACAGTGCCATATCATGAGTGTTGATTGTTGTTTAACCACACACACACCAATATACCGGCGGTGGTGCCATATCATATATATTTTCCTTGCTGCACCCAATGAACTTTGCAACAGACAACAGATGAAATAGCTACAGCATACACAGTTGAAGCAAAAGATTTAAGTTTCAGTGAATTGAAGAATTGGCCATGCCTTTATGATCTGAAATTTCAAAAACTGTATCTTGACAACTAAGGTGACCTCAGCGTGTGGAGGGTCCCCTCTACCTACTGTGTTGAAAAAGCTGTCAGACATCGATATTGGATGGTTAAAAGCTGATTTGGTATTTATGGCAGTCTTTGGACAGTAATAATACTGTACAATTAGTGGGTTATAACATTTGTGTCACCCCCTTTCACATGATGTGAGTTACCCCCCTTTATTCTTCACTGATGCATTTGTAAAGTTTTGTACATTGTTGGGCCTAACCGATTTTATGCTTAACACATTATTCATTGTGATGTATGACTATACAGATCCCCTCGCAACGTTAGCGACAGCAGCTATGTCATCGGCGCCTGTAGCAGCAGCAGTAGTGAAACAGGAGCCAGGGACGCCGGCAAATGGCGTCAAGACGGAACCAGAGATTAAACAGGTCAGTTGAGTGCATCAAGTTATTCCACATTCATTTGATGGTTCATTGATGGATCGCCTTTAATATTACCTTGTACTTACAGTTCCATTTTCTCTTTCCTCCATATCAAGCTGACATGCTGTGATGTGATAGTACTGATCAAACCAGTGTAACGACACTCTTTATTTATGCCACTTAATTTAGTGTGGTGGGTTCAAGCGTTCACTTGTCACACCTTTTCAGAAGAAGTCCTCCTTGGGTACATATAAGCATTAAAATGTCCATTTTAAAAGCCTACGACAGTTGTAACAATATTTCAATAAAATATTTTACCAAACAAAACTCGCTATGTGTGGTGAGATTCATCCCTACAGGGCCCCGTGAAGTTCTTTTTCAGAAGGCCCCCTACAGCCAAGAGCAGGTAACTCTGGCTGTGTACCTCGTGACTCACTTTTCATGCTGTCGCCGGGCTCGTAGGTCGCTTTGCATGGTCCAAGATACCTAATAAGGATGAGTGAGATAGAGTCAAATCCTGTATGTATGGTTCCTTTTTCGCCGGGCTTAGCTGGAATCTTTGTATGACTTTTTTCATTCATGATTTGTTGTAACTTTACCGGGCGTGTTCGCTGTCTCCAGCCACGTGGCAGGCAAGATGGCGGACCGCTGGGTTCCGCTTTGCTTTCCTTCTCCTGGCTTTAGAAAAAAGCCTTGTAGTCGGGTTGTGAAAGGGCTGATATTTCATTTTGTAGATTATACTTGCCTAAATTCCTCTTTTTCAGGCTTTAGGTAAGTTTTGCTTGAGTGTTTTCGCGGACGCGCTTACGGTCGCCACACATGTTGCTCTTTGTCACCTATGTATTTAATTACGCTTCGCTATTATGGCTTTACGCTAGTAATTAATAGCTTTGCTGTAGCAGTTAAAATATCGCCCGGCGTTGTATTTTGTTCTGTTTTGTTGTGTGCATATTATATTATGTATATCGTGACAGTCCTTGCTATTATCATAGCGTGGTTCTGTTTTTGCAGCCCAAGGGGTGTGTCACCTGTAGCGCAGTTTGTCGCCTTCAGGATCGCCACCTGGTTTGCTTTACGCTTGTTTAGCCGGAGGAAGCCCATGACGCAACAAGGTTGTTCTATGTGTCAGGCTTTCTCCCCGCACCATCAAGTCCAGACGCGTTGATTACATGTTCTACACGCCCTTACTTCAGGCGGGGGGGGACATTTGGGGTCAGGAGCCGCCTAAAGACAAAGATAAAAAAACAAAGAAAAAGAAGGCTTCGGCTTCCTCTCTTTCGCGGGATGCTCCTAAACGGGCGAAGGGTACAGGGCCTCAGGCTCCTTCACCTGCCATCCCCTCAACATCACAGGCACCTTCCCCTCCTGTCCCTGTTTCTAACCAGCTAACAATTGATTTATTTACTTTCTGATATATTGCAGAAGCAGATGGATTCGGTCCACACTCGCGGCTGACGCGATGGCTGGCCTCCGACAGGAGATTGGTGTCCCACCAGGTACGGGTGTGTGTGTCGGGTCTATGGCGGCAGTGCTCCCAACCTCAGCTTAGGCTCTGGTGTGGGGTTTCTGTCGGGTGCGCGGCCCGAAGTTTCGCCCCTCGTTGCTGGCCACCCTCCGCTGTAGTAACTACTACCGGCCCGAGCCTTGGCTCGGGTCTGGTCCAGTAGTTAGTAGTTTGGCAGTCCCTGTAGTTGCCGCTACAAGCGACTGGTCCCACCGCCATGCCGGGCTTGGCCGGGCCATTCGGTGTCTGGATCATTTTGTCTACCATTGAGGAATCCCAGCACGGGCTCTTCCTCATCACGCACCGCCGACTCAGTCTCGAAGTCTTGGGTCGGGTGTGCCGGGCAACCCGCTCTGCTCGAGCCTTTGTCCCTCTCTGTAGACCCTCGGATGATCCCTCAGAGCTCTCTGGAAACAGAGACCTCACTCATTGAGGATCGATTCGAGGAGGCTATGGAGGAGGATGAGGGTCGGAGGAGTTGGGCACGCCTTTGGTTTCGCTGCGCGCCCCTGAGGCAGGTACGGAGCCGCATTGCTTCTGTCCTGCCCCAGGTAGTGGTCAGTACTGGCGCACCCGACTCAGGAGTTTCGGCCTCTCCCAGGAGGCTTTTGCTCCCACCAAGGTGGGGACACAAGGCCGCGCGATATTACCCTCAGTCTTGTCTGAAGTAATCAACCCTCCTCTGTGGTACCAGGTCCAGGTTCGATTTGCCAGAACTTGACCGCCGGTACCTCATGGGGAGGCTTGCCTCTACAATCCCCAGTGGTTGACGATTGTGTTTACGCATCCGCCGCCTCTGGGGGTTCGCCGGGTAATTCTATGGCTTCAGCCAAGCAAGGTCGCCGCTTCCGCCGCTCACTCTACTAACGCTACAGCGCTTTAAACCGCTTATCGATCCTTTGAAGAGCAATACCGCAATGCGTTCAATGCCTCAAAGTGACGATCCATTCCGCTTACATCTCGGTGTTGCAGAGGCAACTACTGGATGTGGGTGGGGTGGAGGAAGATTCGCCTCCCTCCACCTTGGCTAAGCAATTAACGGAGGTACAGTCACATCTGGCGCCAGCGATTCTATCAGGTCGCCGGCTTGCCAAATGATGTCGGGCGGTGATGGGCCTCCGCCGCCTGTGGCTTTCCGCGGGCGCAGGTATTCGCCTGCCACGCAACAGGCTCTGCTGGCGCTGCCATTCCGATGGGTTCTACCCTGTTCCCCGGGCAGCTACAGTAGTCCGAGGCCGCGGAGGCTGTCTCAACCTTCAAGGACTCTAAGCCCTTGCTGGAACAGCCTCACACGCCTCGCCAGGCTGCCCCGGTTGTCTCTCGCGATATCCTTCTGCCGCCGCTAAGGAATCTGTTAAATGGGCTCAGCCCTTGCAGTCGCTGGAGGGGTAAGGGCAGAGGCAGGGCAAGGGCAAGGCCACGGCGCCCCACCAGCCTTTTCAGAGGAAGGGGAAGTCAGCCCCGCTTCCCAGCTATAATTCCTCCGAGCTCTTTGTTGGTACCAGACCAAGCAGTCAGAGTACTGCCAAAGTCCGTATTCAATGTCTCCTGCCACATATCCCTGTGGGTGGTCGACTTTCCCTCTTCCTGTCGGAATGGGAAAAAGTCACGTCCAATCCCTGGGTCCTGTCCACACTCAGGGAAGGCCACTTGCCACAGTGGAAGCGAGACCCACCCCCCTTCTCCGGGATCCGCTGCACTCCAGTGCCGGCTGCCCTAGAGAAGGCGGAAGTGCTCGCGTCGAGGTCCAGTCGCTGCTGGACAAGGCAGCCATAGAGATGGTTCCTGTGGGACAAGAAATGTTGGGTTTTTACTCAACTTATTTCCTTGTCACCAAAAAGGACGGAGGGTTCAGACCTATTCTAAACCTCAAAGGTCTGAACGACATGTTAGAGGTACCGCCATTCAAGATGGAAACACTGGCGCTCGGGTGATTTCGCCTGTGGAGAAGGGAGATTGGCTCACGCCAATCGACCTCAAAGACGCCAGACTTCCATGTCCCTATGCACCCCGAAAGTTCGAAATACCTAAGGTTTTCCTTCGACGGAGGTGCTATCAGTTTCGGTACTCCCTTCGCATTTCCACAGCCAAGGGTGTTCACCAAACTCATGCTAATTCCAGCTCAGGTAGCCAGGTCACAGGGCAGGTGCTGTCACCCGCATCTAGACGATTGGCTCCTTCGCGGCGCTTGCCACTCACTTGAGTCGAAGGCGACACTTGCTGTGATGAGTATTCTCACCAAGTTGGGCTGGATTATCAACCTCAAGAAATCAGAACTGGTTCCCACCCAGGATCTGGTGTTCTTGGGAGCGAGGTTCGAGACAGCCGAGGGATAGTCTCCCTGTCTCCTCGACCGCCACCAAAGTCCAGAGAGTTGTGTTACAATTTCTCGAAGTTCCCCAGGGCCTCAGCTCGACTTGGCTCCAGTTGTTAGGCAACATGGCGGCAACGGTGGACATCGCTTGGCGAGCGCTGTTGAGGATGCGACCCATTCAGCAGGCTCTAGCTCGAATGTGGGTCCACACCCAGGGTTACGAAGTTGATTCTCCACACCCAGGGTGGCTAATTCCTCATTTACGGTGGTGGACACTGGCAGGGAATTTATCCAAGGGGCTCCCTTTGGACATCCCATCGCCAGATCTCTCAATTCAGACGGACGCCACAGGGTGGGGGCGTGCTGGGCCTCTGTCGGCCTCAGGCCTGTGGTCACAGAGCGAAGCTAACTGCACATCAATGTGCTAGAATTGAGAGCAGTCAGGTTGGTGTTCAAACGACTTCGAGCAGGTTCAAGGCCGCGGTGGTCCGCCTCGAGATGGACAACCAGACGGCAATGACCTACATCCTGAAGCAGGGCGGTACGGTTTCCGCCTCTTCTGCAGGAGGCATGGCAGTTTCTGCTCTGGTGCCACCAGTTCGACATAACGGTAATGCCTGTTTATCTCCCAGGGCGGACAACGCTCGAAAGCAGATGCACTCTCTCGTCAGATCCTGGCCCCACACGAAAGTGGATGCTCCATCGGGGATATTCGGGCTATCTCCCAGTTGTTCGGTCGCTCCAGGTGGATCTGTTTGCATCTGGGGACGAACCAGATTCCGGTGTTTTGCTCTCGGATACCGGATCCGGAGAGCCATCGCCCAAGACGCTTCCAGCTCGATTGGACGGACAGGGTTCTGTATGCCCCGCCACTACCCCTGATTCCCAAAGTCCTCTTGCAGCTTGCCACCCAACCAGCTCGACTTCTTGTGCTCCTTGCACCCCTTTGGTCGGCTCAAAGCTGGTTTCCGGTACTACTCAGGTTTCTGGCTCAGCCTCCTGTACTATTACCCTTTCGACCGACTTACTATCCCAGAACGGAGCGCCGCACCAATCCCAGGATTCAGTGGGTGGCCTGGCCTCTGTCCGAATCGCTTCCACGCTGAAGCGAATTCCTGCACCAGTTGCAGACACAATTCTGGCTTCATGGAGGGATTCGGACAAACGCTCAGTATGAGGATAGATGGGCCTGTTATGCGCGCTGGTGTGTCGGCAGAGGGATTCTTGATCCCTTTCTTCAACTGTAATTGAAGTACTGGAGTTCTTGCAGTCTCGTTAGAAGCCGGTTTAGCCGCTGCCTACTATCCGGGCTACTCCACGGCAATCTCTGCCTTCCATATCCCTGCCGACGGTGCTCTCTTTGGGGCAGCACCTCTCGCATACGCTTTTAGCAGGCGTGGACAGAATCCGTCCGACTGTCCGGGCGGATTAGTCCCCCGTGGGACTTGTCAATCGCTCTTGATTGGATGTCCGTCCTCTCTTTCACGATCTGTCGCCTCTTTCACTCCAGCTGTTAAGTTGAAGGCTGCCTTTCTTGTGGCGGTAACGCCTGGCAGGCGGTAGGTGATATCCATGCGATGTCAGCGATCCTGCTCTGACTGTCTTTCACAAAGACAGAGTCAGTATTCGGGTTGCCAGACTCCTACCGCCCTAAGGTCGCAGGCTTTCATATAACGGCGCTTCATCGAACTGCCAGCTTTCACTCAGCCTCCATCGTCCGTACCTCTCTTCGGGCGCGTTTCACGCCTTAGATGTCCGTGAAGACTCTCAAGGCTTATATCAACTTAACGGCTGCTATCAGGAAAGATAAGCAGCTGTTCTGTTGTTATGGCGGTGGCAAGGCTGGTCTTCCGCGCAACAAGCAGACCATATCTAGGTGGCTTGTCTCTGCCATTTGTTCGAAAGTTACTCTTACAAAGGATTAACCATCCCTCAGGGTTTAAAGGCTCATTCTATTAGGGCAGTGGCTTACATCAAAAGCATACCGCTGCACTGCCCATTGAAGAGATCTGCTCAGCTGCTATCTGGAGCCTAATCGAAAGCACGCTCATCCGCCACTATCAGCTGGACAAACACTCACGGAGCGTGCTCGGTTTGGCCAGACAGTTCTCACCAGTGGGCAGTGTCGCGGATTCTTCAGCCGAATGAGCCTTAGAAATCACGCTTGCTTTTCTCATGGTGTAGGTGTTAATAAATTCCTCAATTTTTATCGGTGGTGGTATCACATTGGTGGTGGTTTTACTGTATGTAGCGATTATCACCGCTACAGTCACTGTGTTCATCCCTGCACCACGCTGGTTTGGGTTGCTGAGGGATATATATTGGACTCGCCCATACTTTCCTCCCATTTTGATGGTTGGGGTGGGACTTGCGCCCGCCTTTATAAATTCCACCAATAGCCTATCGGCTAGGCCTCTTTCCCCGCCTTGTTAACTCTGATTGACATCAGCGGTCAGGTGACTAGGTGAGTGTACTTTCTCTCTCTGCGCTTCGGCTGTGCCTCTCGACTGAACTAGGGGTATGTTAGGCAGACAGAATACCACCTCCCGACTCAACATCGCTGGGAGTCTGTCTTATGTTTTATATGTTCCCAAGGAGGACTTCTTCTGAAAAGAATTTTACAAACCTGGAGAGGTTATGAATTCTTTTGAAGAAAAGTCCTCCTTGGGTACGGCCACCACCTCCCCTCATTCTGTCTGACACGCTCAGCATGAAAAGTGAGGTACGAGGTACACAGCCAGAGTTACCTGCTCTGAGCTGTAGGGGCCCCCACGGGCCCTGTAGGGGTGGTCTCACCACACATAACGAAGTTTTTGTTTGGTAAAATATTTTATTGAAATATTGTTACAACTGTCGAGGCTTTAAAATGGACATTTTAATGCTTATATGTACCCCAAGGAGGACTTTTCTTCAAAGAATTCATAACCTCTCCAGGTTTGTAAAAGTTTCTGCCCCCCACCACAGCGTGTTAAAACGACAAGAACTCCAGCCTGGAACAGCTTACAAGTTCCGCGGTGGTGGCAGGCATCAACGCCTGTGGCCGAGGTCCGTTCAGTGAAGTCTCAGCCTTCAAAACATGTCTGCCAGGTTTCCCAGGGGCACCCTCGGCAATAAAGATCAGTAAGGTAGGAGTTACTCCCCTTTCACCGGGTAGCCATCTTTGTGGTTGAGACGGATCTCCACTTAAATGAAAGTAAACTGACCACTTTCCGATAATGTTTTGCTACTAGAATCATTAGAAGTGGTGTGACCACTAAATCAGATACTGTTACTTATGAAATCATTTTAAAAGACTCTAGTGAGGACACTTAAATGTATATATGAAGTGGCTCAATTTTCTCTGGATATATTGTATATTACTGTACACGGTGATGTCTGGTCGTCTCACTCAGACAAAAATAATGACATGGGCTCTATTTGCCAGTGTATCAAAATTTGTCAAGTTACAGGAAATACTTACAGTTAAGAAATACTTTGCAATGACAATGTGTGTTAATTAATTGCCATCAAAATCAAACCTTCCCAGCGTCGTGATGTAGCTAACAGTGACTTCCCTTTGTCGGCTTCACTTTTGACCAACCACGTATCTTTAAATGCTTATGTTTATATACTGGACAAAAATAGTTAGGGATTTATTCATTGCCACTCTGATAAAATATCAATCATAAAAATACCAATATCCCTAACTTATTTTGTTCAGTATACTGTAAACGTATTATATTTCGTGCAGGTTTTATTTTCGCGCAAAACATTTTAGGAAAGAAATAATACAGCAGTATTTTATTTATTCATTAAGATTTTATTCACCAGTACATCATGAAGCGAATAGTCACTAACACTCAATCATCTCATTCACAACAACCCGGCTTGTTTGAAATCACAAAGAGCTTCATATACAGTATAAGTTAATTCGACAAATCGTCAGAATTCGGAACATAAGACTGATGTGTTTTTCATCTCTTCCGGGAGTAAACGGATTACTGTGTACTAGTATATCGCACAGATAGGGATTTCCTGTGAGTAAGCAATAAAGGCCGCCTGACATGTTAAGCCACTGTTTGTTTTCACTGCTATTAGTGGCGGCCAAAAAGACAGCTGGCAGTTCCGGCAATTACTGATTGCGCGAATAATTGACCGCACGATGAAGTCTAAACTATCAATTCCGCGAAAATTGCACCACGCGAAAATATGTACGTTTACAGTATGTGGTTCCATAGGGCTTTAAAATTGTTGATTGGGTCTTGAAAAGGTCCTAAGAAGGCCTTAAATTTGATGACTAGTAATCTGTATGAACCCTGTACATGTTTGTGCTCATATTATTTTCAGAGTGCGGAGGGAGCACATTTATCATGGGAACCACCTCAAAACACTGCCGGAAAAATCACTGAGTATTCTGTCTATTTGGCCGTCCGAAATGCAGCGGCAGCAGAACAAAAGGCCGGAGCCCCAGCTCAGCTTGCGTTTGTGCGAGTCTACTGTGGCCCTAACCCCTCATGTGTCGTCACCACGGCCAGTCTGGCATCAGCTCACATAGACTTCACCACCAAACCAGCCATCATCTTCCGTATCGCAGCTAGGAACGAAAAGGGTTATGGCCCAGCTACGCAAGTCAGGTGGCTGCAAGGTGAGTGGATGATGATGATGATGTTAAAAATACAAAGGAATATATCTATGTGCTAGTCTCATTGTTGTAGATAATGTGATGGTAGTGATGGTGATGATTATGATGATGATGAAATATGTGAAAAGGCTTCCAGCAAATGCTAACAGACAGACGGCTTAAAGGCATTATGATGTTTTGTGTTACTTATGGATCTATCTTAAATTGATTTTACTTTTTACAGATGCCTCCCAAACAGCAATGGCAGGTGGGAAAATAGCCGTGAAGAGAGTCAGCTCGGATGGGTAAGCCAAACACTTTGTAGTTGCAGTGTTACAGGACAGTCCAGTATTGGGTGTAACTTGTGAAAAATACCTATTCTGATATGTCTCAAATAGATTCAGCAGTTCTTTGGAAATTTGTTCAACAAAACATATCTTGACTGGTAGAATATTATCAGTCCAGTTTATGTTTTCAAGGCCATGTCACCCATATTACATGTATGTTATACACTTATGTTACATGACACATGATTCATGGTAATGGATTTCATTACATTTCCATTCTGTTTGAATTCTAACTGAATTCTTTTGAATATGTTATGCATATACTTGGACAGATGGAATCTGTTCTGAAGTCTTTGAGCATCCATGACAGTTATCGTTTATCGTAGGCTTGGTTTGTTGATGTGATATCGGCATACAGTGAGTGAGTTTAGTTTCACGCCGCACTCAGCAATATTCCAGCTATATGGCGGCGGTCTGTAAATAATCAAGTCTGGACCGGACAATCCAGTAATCAATAGCATGAGCATCATTCTGCGCAATTGGGAACCGATGACATGTCAACCAAGTCAGCGAGCCTGACCACCCGATCCTGTTAGTTGTCTCATACGACAAGCATGGGTTACTGAAGGCACATTCTAACCCGGGACCTTCACGGGTCGCATCGGCATACAGAGGACGTACAGGTTGTAATTATATTATAATCATTGTTATTGTATTTGCAGCAAACCCACCATCACAATCACTGGTGCAGCTATTAAGAAAATCAAAACTGAAGAGGAAGGACAGAGCTAAGGGGAATTCTCATGGCCCGCTAGTGGTCAGTACTGATGCACATCTTCTACTCTCAACAAATACTAACTCAAGATATGCTGCCAAATGGGAGTCAAAGACTTCGGAAATAATGAATCTACAGGGAACCTGTCAGGAAAGTGAGCCGTCATTCAAGCCCAGCTGAGAGCTATTGTTCAAGGAAAACTAAGGAATGGACTTAAACTTGAAAAAATGGTCACATCAGTTGAGACGGTACTGTTCGGTTGAAATTCGACTAAAGTGCATTATAAATGCATGTTGGGTGTATGTGTATTTGTTAAATGTTTTCAGAAAACATTGTACATGTGAATACCAGCTGATGATGTCGGACGACGGCACCGTCAGCGCCCCTAGTGACACTGTCTCTGTAGTACACCTCCCAAGGTAGCGACACGTGAACTTGTGCATCATTTTTTTTCATTTTCATATTCATTTGTAAATGATTCCACTGTCATCTTTGTTACGACTTTCATCTGTTACATACTGTTTACACACACAACACAGTGGGTATTGTAAATATCAGAGCGAAATGTACATCAGTTGAGAAACCTTCATCCTCATCGCATACAGACAACACCACGACTCATCTTGGAGTTGCCAGTCGCCTGGTCTTTTGTTTACAATATTCACTAGTTGGTATGTTCACTTCTAGGATAGTGCAAGCCTTGCAGCAACTAGACTGCTTCAAGGCGTTTGTTAAAGATAGTCTTTGTTAGTTCCCATTCATGTATATTGGCTCATTGTGTACATGTATTTGAAATGTTTATTACAGCTTTTTCAGAGTATTCATTTGCTTCATGATGGAGTAAACATCACGGAGAAACGATCTGGATTGAAAGGCAGCCTTGGGGGAAAAGAGTTGGGAGCATAAACTTGATAACATGAAACTTTCTAGTTGTATTTTCCATAAAATCTTTGAGTTTGACAAGGCCATCAAGGATGACCAGCTATGTCAACTGTTCAAAGTTATGCTGATTTCTATGCTGTCTCATTTAAGATTTTTCGTCTGTCTTCATTGTTCAAGAATATCATCAGTATTTCTCGCTGATGATGATTGCTGGAAAAGTTTTACAGTATGATGATTGTCAAGATGACATATCAATATACTTTTATTAAAATATCTTGGGATTATATTTTTTGAAGAGCATGGGTTTTCATAATGAAGTTATATGACAGATTAAGATTCTTCTGTTTCTTGATTTGTGCTTGTGTACTGCTGAGAATTAGGATAGTGCAGAGTTTTTCCAAAACTGGAACTAAGGAACATTCAAAAGAGGGAATGGTGTGAAATTGAAGGTTTTATCTGAAATGTGGAAAGGGAATATGTTATACAGTTTAACCACTGCATGCTGAAAAAAATATGTCATATTCTTGGTTCTTTGGCAAATGTCTATTGGCAAACATTTTCAACTAGATCCTTTTGCCAGAGAATCAATTTTAAGAATATTTTTTTAAGTTCAAGAGGGATTAGTTTCATTTTGTAAATATATGATTGTAAATGAGTGCCAGAAAACTTTTAAATATTGTACAAATCTTTCATGGAACAGGATTTTTGTTGACATGGAAATGGTTTGGTTACTCATCAAAATAAACCGTGTTCAAAATTTCTCTACTTAAGTTCATCAAATTTTTAATTGAGTTTTAATCACTTCGGTAAGTTGTGTATCAATATTGTAAGTATGTAAAAGAAAAAGTGAAATTTTAACACATCAATAATGCTGCATTGTTGATAATGAAATAAACCCAACTTATAGTTAGAATGCATTTCTGTAGTCTTCAACTTCTTTTATTTCTAAAGTGTTCAAATATTTGGCAGCTCAAACAACCAGTTCAAGTTTTATATTGAGTGTAAATACAACTTGGTTGTTGATGTACATGACTTCATAAGCGTGTAAACGATTTCTGTAAATTTGCTTCTTCTGCAGTTGAAGACAGTTGACAACTTGGTACCGTAAGCAATTGTTAAGGGTTTTGAAGCTCAGTGACCCATCTTCTTGGCTTTCTCTCTCCAGTTTTCTAAAGTTCGTAGAAATGTTTCCACATGTAGTACACATTTTTCTTAGTTATGATCAAATGTTATTTATGTTTTCAAGAAAACATTAAGATATCGTGAAAGAAGTGCTACAATTAAATCCGTGTTGAAATGGAAAAATGGTTGACATTTGCGCTTTTCTTGTTCAACCTTAAAATGATATACAATTGCATGGTAAGTATTTGCCGATTAATTCTCCAAGAAAAGGGTAATATATTTAGAATAATGTTCAGTTTGACTTATGCATCAGGAAACATTGTGTCAGTGATTTTGCAGCTAGCATTATGGAAATGTGGATATGAGAGATGTTATAATAAGGAAACCATCCTGATATGAGCTCAAGTACTGTCATATTAAAGCCCATTTCTGATGTCCCTTGCCGTGATATTGCTGAAATATTGCTAAAAGAGGCATTAGGGTAGCCTATTGGTTAAAGCATTCGCTTGTCACGCTGAAGACCTGAGTTCGATTCCCCACATGGGTACAATGCGTGAAGCCCATTCCTGGCACCCACCGCCTTAATATTGCTAAAAGCGATGTAAAACTAAACTTGCTCATGTTCAGAAAAAGTAAAAAGACCTTGAGGCTACATCAATATTATGAAGGAATATTAAACAAATTACAAACGTCATTGAGAAAATACAACATTTGCATTTTTGGTAAGTGTTGAATGATTTGTGTATTTTCTCAAGTCTTCTGACAATCCAAATTTGAGAACTTCTAAAAAGGTCATTGGCAGTTTCATGTTGAGTGGTACCGCATTGTCTGGAACTGAGGCATTAAGTTGTGTTCGGGTGAACGTATATATCAAATGTGTACAGCACTTACTTACATATACGCAGTTCAGTTACTAATATGTCACTACATGTGCTGGCTAAGTTTCCACACTTTCAATTGCACCTGCAAAGCATTAGATAGTATGCCATATTTTAACAGTTGTGTTTTATTGGTGCTTAAGCTGTTTGTGGTCTCAAAATGTGTTAACTTTATCAGACCATAAAAAGAATGATTTCATTTCCTGTTAAGTCCGTGTCATCTTTTTGTCAGTTTTTCATACAATTATAGGGCATGTAACTCTGAACATATTTCCGTTGCATGACTGTATATTTCCTTTAACATGATAAAAACTGAACCTATTTTGCTCAAACTAAAACAATGAGTAACATGAGACCCTTTGTTTTGTTGCCTTATGGAGAGAATAACAGTAAACATTAGGATACGGTTAACATAGGAAACTACCGTTCTCGTAGAGGCTATCATAAGATTATTTGTACATTTATCATCATGTGCCATGTTGTGGCATGACCATACTAGACTTTGAACATGCAACACCATTTGTTAAACTATTGCAATGTTTATTGTTTTATATTGATACATTTTAGATTTGAAGTATACGATGCCCATCTCATTTAAGTGTACCTAAATAAATCTACTTTTAATCAGATGACTTGTTGTGATAAATGATGTCAAAGAGCTGTTCCTTTTTTTGAGTTGTGCCACAGCTGTATGGAGAGCCAAGGACATTTGATAAGTTTCTGAATGAACACTGAAAATGGAAAAATGCAAGCAACATGGATCGGAAAATGTCGGCTTAAGGGACTTGCAGACCAACTTTCAACTCTGACTTTACTTCTCTGAAAACAACATCAACAAAAAACACAGGAACCAAATTTCATTCAGCTGTGGCCATGTTGAAAATTGGGTTCAAACCTCTGGGTCAGATTGGTACCAAACTGATGTCAGTTGAAGTAGTGCTGCATTCAGTGATTGGAGGTTGTTCTTTGTTCATCTCATGGAAAGATTACTAACATACACTGATTTGAAGTTTTATTTACAAGACAAATAACATCTGAGCACTGACAATGCAAAACTATTCATGGTGAGGTTAGTTTCAGCTGCACTCGGCAATAGTCCAGCTAAATGACAGCAGTCCATAAATAATCGAGTCTGGTCCAGACAATCCAGGGATCAACATCATTCTACACAATATGGGATGTAACTATCATGTGAGCTAAACATGGAATCTTTACACAATCACTTCCATTCAACTTGAGATTATTAAAATTCTTTTTAGCAAAACTGGTAAATGCATTTTCTGTAAAAACAAATCTACAACCCATAAATGATTCAGCTATTACACTGTATATAAACAAACATGATACTAATTTTGATTCGTGTAAAAATATGACTAATATGAAGACCCTGCATTTAAAACACACAAGATGACACTGAACATTTGAAAAGAAAAGAGCTGAGTTACATGCAAACTATGGTATGGTATAGAAATGCCACATCCAAATTTGAAAACTTCCCTTTCATTCTACGAAAATAGAGATGCCAAAATCATTTTAAAAAATGTTTCTACTTGAAATGTAACAGCAATGAAGATGCTGGTGATATCCAACATCACTGATTCATCATCTATTCTGGAGACCAAGATAAAGTATCAAAGATAAAATTATATCCACCAGTATCATGAAATACAACCAGTTAAGCACAACCATAAGGTTTCCAAATTATAAAGACTGGTTGCAGTGAGTGAGTTTTGTTTAATGCCACACTCAGCAATATTCCAGCTACATGGCGGCTGTCTGTAAATAATCGAGTCTGGACCAGACAATCCAGTGATCAACAGCATTAGCATCGATCTCCGGAATTGGGAACCGATGACGTGTCAACCAAGTCAGCGAGCCTGACCACCCAATCCCATTAGTCGCCTCTTACGGTTTTATGCAGACATGGATTTTATGTTAGTAGCGTTGGTTTAAGAAAAACAAATCAATGAAACAGAAACAAAATTCATCAGTATCCAACATCATGAAAAATAACCTTTATAGCACCATCACATAAAAATCACCACAGACTCAAATCTCCAATTTACAAATGATTTCATTTACACACTTGTATTATTCTTAAAGACATCTGAAAAGGGTTCCAGATGTGATTTTGATAGTCAGAATTAAAACATTCTGCATATTTTTGTCTTTTCACAAAACATTTTTAAAAAAAGAAAGAGAAAAGACAAAGAAGAATATCAAATTGATTAATGACATTCAAGGCAAGTTTTACTTAAAAGGAGCAAAACTTGTATTCTTCTGAAACAATCAAATATTCATTACATCTGTCAAAGATAAACTTGAATGGCTCTGGACACTGCATGTATAATATTTGAAAACTAAATCTAAATAATTAGATATGTATATGAAACCACACAAAATCATTTGTCTGTACACTTGGTCACAATGTTGAATGAATAAAATCTACAGATGGAGGATGGCTGTAATAAATTGTCCTCCAATAAAATCTTTTGGCAAAAAATCCTTACATTCATCATTCCCTTCATAAACATTTAGGCATCACTGATTCATCGTCTATTCTAGAGCCCGAGATAAAGCACAAAATATCAATATCGGTGTCCAGGACCATGAAATACAACATTTAAACACAACTCATCAACTATTATATTTCTGTACACCTTTTCCCAACGTTGAATAAATAAAGCCTTAAAGCTGGAGGGTGATTCTGAAAGATTGTCTTCCAATGAAAAGTTTGGGCGAAGAATTATATTCATCATATAATTAAGCATTTACAGCTTAAACTATTCATTTTTCTAAACCTTGCAAGAGCTCGCTGTTTCCTAAAACTAATAACGGAATATATTGTAGATATTTCAAAGTCAGTCTCCAGTATTTTACAAACAACTGACATCATAAAATATGACAAAATATAAAAATGCAAATCACAACATTAATAAGATCCTTTGAGTGATTCATGAAAGACCAACTAAGCTTGTATTAATCTTCATCAGAAACATTTGCTATTCGATTCTTTTTGCGTAAAACAGCTCTAGCAAGGATACTATTTTTCTTTGTGATTTGTTCAAGATGGCGGACTGTCTTGGAGAAGCTGTTCGGAGATTCCACACTAAGCGCTGGGTTAGGACTGGCGGGGACAGGTTTCCGAGCCCGAAGATAGTATCTTGGCGCTTCAAAACTAGATTCCTTGGAAAACAAATGGCACAGGAACAATGTAATTATGAACTGACAAAGACAAAAATGGATCACTGAAATTAGATATCAATATTTTTAAAGTTCTGCTTTTCTTTACTTGGAAATATTCCAGCTAAACCTATATATTAATGATTCTGGAAGAAACAATTGGCATCATGATCTGCATCTGGGATACATTTACATCCATCAACCAAGTCAGTGAGCCTAACAACCATTGTTTTGTCTTGACTTTTAAGTACGAATACAAGTAATACACTTCAAGGTTCTTACAGAAAATAGGGGCAGTGGGGTAGCCTTGTGGTTTAAGTGTTTGCCTGTCACACCGTTGGCCCTGGTTCGATTCCCCACATGGGTACAATGTGTGAATCCCATTTCTAGTGTCCCCCATCGTGATATTGCTAAAAATCACAATATCCTCCAGGGCATATAAACATTCAGTAACAAAACGAGACAGTCTGTGAAGTCATGAATACAACCCTCAAAGAACCCCTACCCCATACCGTTGAGTCGAGTAAGGTTTTACGCCACTTTTAGCAATATTCCAGCAATATCTCGGTGGGAGACACGAGAAATGGGCTTCACACATTGTACCCATGTGGGGAATCGAACCAGGGTCATCGGTGTGACGAGCTGGCTCTGTAACCATTATGCTACCCCAAGACCTCATACACACCATGCCTAACAAAATGTTGTGACACACATAACACCCTCTGTCTATACATGCCCATTGTGTATGATCTGATCATTACCTTTGCTGGGGTTGACGACGGGCATGCCTTTGCTGGTGAAACTAGGAGAAAAGAATTAAATAACATATTAAAAGTTTATAATGGTAACCATAGAAACGTGATGCTCTTTCATCAGAGTGAGTTGGGTGGACGTTTCCACTTGAGGTGTAATGGGGTTTGACATCAAGTTAATGATTACAGTACTTGCAAAGCGATGTGCACATATGTCTCTGTGTGTCCTCTTGGATTAAGTCAGTTTTATATGTTTAGTTCACTGAACATCAGCTGCAGTTTCACATGAACATACACTCAGACACAGTATTGACTCCAAGCCGACCAATGTTTTTATTCCCCAAGGCCTGACAGGGAAATTAACCTTTAACATCCTTCGGTATGCCAGTTGGTTTGGTTTGTTGTTTAATGCTGCACTCAGCAATATTCCAGCTATATGGTGGCGGTCTGTAAATAATTAAATCTGGACCAGGCAATCCAGTGATCAACCGCATGAGCATCGAACTACGCAAGTGGGATACGATAACATGTGTCAACCAAGTCCACGTGCCTGATCACCCACCCTGTTAGTTGGCTCTTAAGTGACAACCCAGTGATCAACAGCATAAGCATCGTTCTTCGCAATTTGGATACAATGACGTGTCAAATAGTCAGCAAGGCTGACCACGCAATCCCGTTAGTGACCTCTTACAACAAGCATTGGTTGTTGGAGACAAATTCGAACCCAGATCTTCACAAGTCTAATGAGAAGGGACCAAGAATCTTAAACAGATTAGAATAGAACTATGCAATTGGGATACGATGACGTGTGTCAACGAAGTCAGCGAGCCTGACCACCGGATCCCATTAGTCACCTCTTACGACTAGCATGGGTTGCTGAAGATCTATTCTAACCCGGACACTTGATACAAGAAATCTTTACTAACAGCAAGAACTTGTTATGATACACTATTCCATCATAACTGGTGATCAAATTTTATCAAGAATTCCAATTAAACAAGTGCTTCCAAAATTTGGTAAATGCCAAAAAATAACACATCAATTTATACGCCAAGACTTATAAACACTGTTACCATGGTTACCTGGATAGAATCCTGTTTTGACCCAGGTGGCCACTCGGTCCGGCAGTTGTTTGATAGGGGTGGACTGGCGGAGATCTCGAGCTCACTGTCCAGAGTGGACATCTGGGTGTTGGCCAGACTGTCGGTCATCACGGAGAAATAGCTGTGTGACGACTCGGAGTGGCTGCTGGACTGCAGGATGAAGGTGTGGTCGGAATCTTCCCCCTCGCTGCCGGTTGACCCGCTGGACACTGCAGAGTCGGAGGAGTCCAACGTCGTGGCTGGATGAACATAACCAAACAATATAATCTTTGAATAGCATTTAGATCTGATATACATTAAGGGGGAAATTTACGGATGTCAGCTTCTGTGATATGAGGGTCACAATGCTTAAGAATATGTTTACTCCATCAGGTAAATTATTTTGTTGTTGCTGCACTCAGCAATATTCCAGCTATATGGCAGCGGTTTGTAAATGATGAAGTTTGGACTAAACAATCCAGTGATCAACATCAAGAGCACCGATCTATGCAATAGGGATACGATGACATGTGTCAACCAAGTTAGCGAGCCTGTCAGCTGAGTGAGTGAGTTTAGTTTTACACTGCACTCAGCAATATTCCAGCTATATGGCGGCGCCCTGTAAATAATCGAGGCTGGACCAAACAATCCAGTGATCAACAGCATGAGCATTGATCTGCGCAATTGGGATGCGAGCACATGTAGTCAACCAAGTCGGTGAGCCTGACCACCCGATTCTGTTACATTCGTCACCACCACTCTCTCCCAGAACCTCCAAGAAGATTCGCCCCCTATCGATGCTTGTTATAATGCTAAAAAATACGACTAACCAATCAGAAGGCATGTAAATGACTCATGTGCTTTGTAAAAATAATCCCAAGTACTTACATCGCTTATGGGCATTACCGGTACATATATGAGGTAACAACAAAAGTGATAAGATAACAAAGGCGGGCACTTAAGGGAAGCTGACATCCATTTTGTCCCCACATCTAAAAAATGTTAGTATATGAGTCATGTACTGAATAAAATGACATGTTAACCTTGTTTTATATTCACATTTAAATTCAATTTCATGTTTAATTTTTCATGAATATCAATTAGTCTCTCGAGTCCATCAGTAATCGCTGATGCAATGATCAATCGATTTAACTTCCTTAAGTGGCACTTAGAAGCTGGTATGATCAAGTGGAACACTTTTTAAAGATAGACAACTTCTTTGTTGCAGTAGCTGCGACGTTTCGGTGTAGATCCTAACACCGTTATCAAGCAAATCATTTGCTTGATAACGGTGTTAGGATCTTCACCAAAACGTCGCAGCTACTGCAACAAAGAAGATGTCTATCCATAAAAAGTGTTCCACTTGATCAATCGATTGACTGATTATTTCGATCAATCGCTCCAGCACTAGCTGTAACTATGGTAATCTCCTGACAAAGAAGTAACAGCTACTCACAGTCAGCTTCGACTCCCTCTTTACCCTGGGTTACCATAAGTTTAGTGTTGCTGCTTGATCCTGGCAATCAAAACAACCATTTAGGAGAGAAACATACGTGGTTCAGGATTTTGGGATTCTATTTGGTATTTGATACCTGCAAATTCCATTTGAAACCAACAGCATTACAGGGGCGGATCCAAGATTTTTGGAGAATGGGGGTGCATATAAATCATGAAGTCCAAAGGTTAGGTGGAAATGCTCCTCAAGTAAAAAGAATTCAGGGGTGGGCGTGGGGGTGTATCCTACCACAGCTAAGGGACACAACTCTAAACAGCAACTTACAACACTTTCAACTAGCTCCCTTTATCTGTACAATGTTGTATAAGCAATGTATGAAATAAGCCAAAACCCTAGCCAGACATCAGGGCTGGTAACTTCAAAATGTTACCAGTCCAAAATGGATTTAACCAGACCAGAAACCAAGATATGACTCAGATGTATAAAACATCTAAATTTTTACCAGACCATCGGGCTGGCTAGTTGTAAATCTAGACCCTCCATCTGAAATCTAACATATCTTGGGCGGTCGGACAGGCCTTGTTTCATACAGTGGTATGAGACCATAATCTTACTGTTAAATTATTTTCGTATTATTTCAAGCAGTAACGGTTTACCTGATATTGTTCCCATGAGAGAGTGTCGGAGTTCAGAGTTCTGTCTTCGGATCTCTATCAGAAGCTGGTTGTTGATGGTGTTCAGGTCCTTGAAGTTGTAGACGGAGAAACAGAGGATGATGAACCCAATAAGGCCTGACAACCGACGAACTAGACGCTGGCTACCATAGATCATCTCCTGGAACAGGAAACACTATGTGCAGCTTACTAGCATATCAGATTCTATCCCAAATCACTAAGGGTGACCATTGAGGGGGAAACATCTACAGTGGAAGCTGTTTAATGAGTGAAGGAGTGAGTTTGATTTTACGCCACTTTTAGCAATATTCCAGCAATATCACGACGGGGTACACCAGAAATGGGCTTCACACATTTTACCCATGTGGGGAATCGAACCCGGGCCTTCATAGAGACGAGCGAACGCTTTACCCACTAGGCTACCCCACCGCCCCTGGAAGCTGTCTAAACCGGCACTCGTCGGGACTGAAGAAATAATCTGATTTAGACAGTGTGCTGGATTGTAGAGCTGACAAGGTTACCTGCAACTAGAACTGAACCAGTTTTGTCACTCTCATATCCATTGTTGTACCACGTGGTTCTCTCAATTACTGCACACATTGATTCAACCCACTAGTTACATGTACAAATACACCCATACTGAATTAAGATTAATTATCTTTGTCGGCAACCATGTAGTTTCAACGCAAGATTAATTGGTGACAATACACATCCGGCCAACTCCTCGCCACGTCCCGGATTAGACTGCACTGATTACTGATAAACACATATTTGGGTGTCGCATTTCATGCCAACATCCAGAATTGCCAGCTGCCGGATTGCAGGGCTTTTAAATGATGATAACTGTACTAGCCTGAGACAGGACAGAGATTTAATGCCAGTGTTGATAACTTGCCGGAATGGACAGCTGCCGGTTTTGACAGCTTCCACTGTATTGCAATAGCGATAGTCTGTTGCAACCAACTATTGCAATACTATTGCACTATTTTTTTTTCACCTTGCATTGTCTCATTTGAAGTCATTTCCCAAATGAATATATAGTTTATATAAAAAACAAACAAGATGAAGTAGTTTCAGGCTCTTCTAATAACTGATAAGAAACTTCAAACCCAGATCAAGTTTGTTTAAGATTAAGAGGTAACAGGGGCAGATAACTCTAATATATCAAAGTGAATGAATCTGGTACTTTCTGCATTTTGCGCTGCGCATGTATAAAAGGAAGTCAACTACTAAACTATCGATAGCCACACATACTATCCATGCATTGATAGTTTTTCATTTCTACCACCGAGTAATTGCTCAGCAATTGCAATCCATCAATAGTCGGATGAATCGTTACAGCCCTACACAATCACACTGCCCACCATCCACTCTTCAATGAAAAGGAATGGAGATGCTATTGAAACAGGAGTTCTGCTGAACTCAGCAAGCTTTCAACCCTGTAAAATATTCCATTTAATGTAACAGAATAATGAAACAATACTTGACATGCTGGACTTAATATGAGCTCTATTCTAAACAAACATGTCACATGTCAGGGATCAAAATTGTGCTTAATCAGATTTACAAACTGTTGACAAGGGTGGAAACTCGACTATAAAAGTTAACTCCCTGCTTCAGGAACATGTTAGCACATACCTCCTCATTCTCAAAGTCTTGAAACGGTACATATCTAAAAATGCCAGGCCTCACGGACACAATCATCTGTTCCACAACCATATTCCCGCCATCAGCCCAAACAACCAGAACCTCGCGACTGCTTCGCCCTGGCCGCTGACGCCAACAGATAATGCACACAAGAATCGACAGGGTATAGAACACAATTGAATAAAAGCCTGAAAATTCTCCAAGAACCATGTGCTGTAGCTTAGCAACACGATCAAAAACGTCAGTGATGAGTACACGCTGTTCCTGTGTTGTCTCTTTGAAGTCTTTGAACATCTCGTGAATGTCATCAGACGATGCGGTAATGATGTTACTCAAATTTGAAGCCTTGTTCATGATCGTTTCTTGATTTTTTATGCTTTCTTCCTGTTGTTTTAGTACTTCGTTCTGTAGCTTGTAGGAATCTTCTAGTTTTGAGGCTACCTGAGATGAACTGTCAGAAAGTCCACCAATTGTGTTCTCAGTTTCATGCCATATTTGCATTTTGAAGAAAGTAGCACATATTTTGAGTGTGTGTGTGAAAAGGTTGTAAATGAGCCTCTGTCCACATCCAGCATATTTTTTGCACATTCATGAAACGGTTGATCAAGGTCACACTCGTACACGTCTCGACCTTGAAATTCCAGGAAACAGTTGAGGTAGGCCAAGGACAGCCGACCCTGGACTTCTCGTCTCGTGAGATGCTTGCAGCCATTTTGCATCGCTACTATGGCATCTTTCCAGCAAGTGCCATATCTTGGCATTTCGACCTGTGGACCATGAGTTCATATTCTTTGCGACCTTCGTCATACCTTGATTTGTCTACATGAAACTGACTGCTGGTCAAGCCATAGTCTGTGAGGACAAGAAACAAACACGTAAACAAAACAGTGGTATCCATCTTCCTGTCTTGGAATTCACTTCATGGGAATGTGTTTCTGTCAATCTGATGATGAAAAAGAAAAGAAGGTAAACAGAATCCAAAATATATTACATAACAATAGGACATAAATATCTCATGGAAGAGTAGAATGATTTTGTGTCATAATGTTCTGAGATTTGTGTGTGTGCATTTTGGGAAATGGCAATCCTGACTGGTCAGTTGAAGCCACATGAGGACAACAATATTATGACAACTAAACTACATCACAAATTGAGCAACGACAAAGTGCACCAGAACTAGTGGTGGTCCGATTAATTGAAATAATCGAAAATTGGTCGCAATGACCAAACGACCAAGCAATCGATCATGTTTTCTCATGATCAAACACAAACAATTTTGGAACACTTGCTAGCTTTAACAAT